ACCTTGAGGAAGAAAAGAGGTCAAGGTCAAAAGTTTTGGTGTGTTGCATCTTGTATCAATGTATTCTTTCTCTGTTACAAGTTTGAAGTCCTAATATCAAAGGGTACTCAATCTATGGCTTGGACTCTATTTTGATGTAAAAGATTGACCTTGACCTTATAATAATTGAATCAAGGTCAAAAATTTTGGTGGCATGCATCCCTCCTTTATACCACCTCTGCATGTTCCAAGTTTGAAGTCTTAATGTCAAAAGGTTCTCAAGTTATGGTCAGATCGTGTTTTTTCCCTATTTGACCTTGAAGGCAGAAAGGGGTCAAGGTCAAAATTCTAATGCAGTGCATTTTGTCTCAAGGTCTTCTTCCTATGTTACAAGTTTGAAGTCCTAATATCAAAGGGATCTTAAGTTATGGGCTGAACTCTATTTTGATGTAAAAGATTGACCTTGACCTTATAAATAGGTCAAGGTCAAAAATGTTGGTGGCGTGCACTCCTTCTCAATGTCATCTATCTATGTTCCAAGTTTGAAGTCTTAATGTCAAAGGGTATTAAAGTTACGGCCTGGACAAAATTTGGAAGAAGAAGAAGAAAGTCGACAAAAACAATATGTCTCCCCTGGAAGGGGAGACATAATTAGACACAGTTCTACATTTTTAACTTTTTTTTAATCTTTGAAAGTTATCATTAGTTGTGACCGTCCTATATTTCAATTCTTTTTTTTTTTTTTTTTGCCATAATGGTAGACATAAGAAAAAAATCCTACTCATAATAGCCATTGAAGATGATATAATCTGACATGATTTAAAACAAATCATTTTTCTTCTAGCTTTCTAAATTACCCTAATCATTGTGCTGCAATTACCCTGCAATATTAGTTGCATCTGCCGGGTGTAGAAACAGTTTGATTTTCATGGAATCAGGGATGCTTGTTGTAGAACTACTAGTTCTTGGATTTACAAATAAAGCTATGTTTCGCCTGTTCACATGCATCTTACACTTTCTTACGATGTATTTAGTTTGACGTTTGACATGATCCATGTGTTTTTCTATGTCTTGTAAACGCACAAAATGATCTGCTGTTTTTCACTATTATTTTAAGAGTATGAATGACCGAGAGCAATAGCGTTCCAATTTAGATAAGTCGTACATAAAAAATTCAATATAACAAAATCAATAACGGTTTTTCTGGGGGGAAAAAAGCAGCTGAAATTGGGAAAAAATTGGTAATTTTTGATAGGGGAAAGGGCCAATATTCGAACCTAAATTGGGTGAAGAAAAATCACTGCAGGGGTAGGGTGGGGCCACAATGAAAGTTCAAACTTGTAGAGAAAAATGTCACAGTCAAAAAATTATGTAAGCATCCTTAAGTAAGTGTAGATTTAATTTTGTTCCAATCATACCCCCCACTCCCTTTTAGAGTAGGTTGGGACCACTTATGTGCTTTTCTATACTAAACTGATTTTTTCTTTTTTCCTAGCCACAGTGCTCAGGTGAGCGATGTGGCCCATGGGCCTCTTGTTTACATTCTGATAACAACTAGCAGTAATTGTTGTTTTTTTTTTTACATTCTGTTAATGTTGAAATGTGCGTGTCTCTAAGCATATGCATTTTTGAAAAGGTTATATGTTTTACAAAATTACAATGACTGAAATGTAGCAAAATAAAAGACCATTGTAACTGTGCTGTAAATATATGATATTTTTCTGCATTCAGTTTGAATTTTATTATGCACTTAATTTTAATTAAAACTTTTTTGGACATTCATTACAATTCTATGTTGATGTTTTTTTTCCAACTGGAGAATTTTTTATTATTGTAGTTAACCTCGCGAGCTTTACCACAGTTAGAGGAAGATAATCGCCTCCTCCCAATGTTGTCAGGGCTCAGTAAGAGGTATCTAGGACAGGACTACGGCTCTAAAAAGTCAAACATTGGCAAAATCACTGCTGAAATGATTGATTCAGTGAGTATTAAATATTTTGTGTATGTCTGTCCTTAATTCTATACTTCAATGCCTTTCTGAGGTTTATAGTGTGAGCATTCATCTATAAAATCTTTACTTTAAAAGACTGCTCTGCCATGGTTGTTGTCATTTGAGTCCATCCTTCAATATTTTGCCAAGTACACTTTAATAATTCTCTCATTTTTATGCCCCAATGAAGATTTAGTGGCATATTCAATGTAGTTTTTGGTCTGTCCATCCGTCTGATCAAAAACTTTCACTTTGTCCATAACTTTTGAATGGTTGGTGCTAGGGCTTTCATATTTCACATGTTTATTCCTTGTGGCAATTCCTTTCTTTTAGTATGGACATTTTTGACCTCGGAGTTTTACCCACTTTCGAAAAACTTTAATCTTTTCCATAACTTCTTCATGAATATCGCTAAGACAAAGTGTACAATGGCTAGAAAAGGATAGCCTCAACTGTCTTGCAAAAAAGGCCTTGATACACAAATAATAAATAAATAAAAACGAAATATTACCTACCAATCCTATTTCTTAAATCTCGTGTAATAGTAAAAAAACATTTTTATTAAATAGGTCTTGTCAATAACATATGTACATGTATTTTTGTATTTTTTCACCTACAGTTATCAAAGCAGTCATTTCCTCCATGCATGCAGAATCTCCACCAGGCTCTGAAGAGGGATCACCATCTAAAACATGGGGGGAGAATGCAGTATGGTCTCTTTCTGAAGGGGATTGGGCTTTCCTTGGAGGAGGCCCTTCGATTTTGGAAAATGGAATTCACAAAAATCATGGATGGAGAAAAGGTTAGTCTTTTTCAGCCATATGAAATAAGAGTTTTTAAGTTTATAAATATAAGGGAGAGGATTTAAAAAAAAAAAGTACACACTTGTCAGAAAAAATCCTAAATCTCAACATTTATATGAATGTTCAGTTGGGATACTTTTAAGATTTGCATGTTGATTTTTGATACAGTAAAAAAAGAGAAGGGTTTGTTACAGATTTCATGGTAATCCATGATCACTTCATGTACTCCAACATGAATGTAATCATACCAGTGGCATTTGTCCAAAAATAATTAATAAACATCCTGTACTTCCATATTCCAAGTTTGCACAGCTTTTTATGCTTTTGATGTTGGAGAAATGTTCAGTTTAGAGTTGTGCTGATTTAAATCTCCTGTTTTCAGTTTGACAAACAGTATTCATACAATATCAGACATAACTATGGTAAGGAGGGAAAGAGAGCTGACTATACCCCCTACAGCTGTAACAAGATCATCATGTCAAATGCACCAGGTCCTGGTGATAATCATGGTAAGTACCTGTAATATGTTACTGTACACCTGGTGATAACAATGGTAAATAGTTACACCTGGTGATAACCATGGTAAACAGTATGTTACTGTACACCTGGTGATAACCACGGTAAATAGTATATTACGGTACATTGGTAATAATCCTGGTAAATAGTATGTTACTGTACACCTGGTGATAACCATGGTAAATTGAATGTTTCTGTACCCCAATTTCTTTGGAACCAGTGGTGGCCGGATAAGACAAGTTTTACTGTACTATTTTAAGGGTGTCCATTCAGACATACAGATGCTGATTTGCTGGCTCAGAAACTCCGACTGCAGGGAATCAACAAGGATTTCACTGAGAAGGTAAAAATGAAAATACATCATAACACAGAAATGAAGTTAACTAATGTCTCTGTTACTCTTGCTCTGCACTTAGTCCAATCTTGGTCCAATGCCTAATATCAGATTTTTTACCTTTCTTGCAAAGTTTGAGGTTCATGTAGAAGAAGGAAGAAAACAGTGTATAGATTAGATTTCTAATTTTATATCTGTATTCTCTTATTTTATACCTTTCTCTTATTTTATAAATGTGTATTCTGTTATTCTATACATGTGTATTCTCTAATTTTAAACCTACATGTATTCTCATTATGTACGTGTAAATAAATTGGTGTATTCAAAAGGATGACTGCACTTAAGGATATGCGAAATCTGCGACAAAATAAACTTTCAAAACAAGCATTTTTCTTTTCATTGCAAGAATGGCCAACATCCAATCTACAACTTTATGTAATTACGTTTAATAAAAGTGTGTATTTACGAAGTTCGAATCTGTTTTCAAAGGCAGGGGTCATCACAATTTCTTGAATCTCCGTACGATAATGATGACGCCCACTTTTTTACTGACTTTATACGTAGTCAGCGCATGTTTGTCTATTGTTCTCCGTTTCACAATAGTTGTATATTTGCATAGATAATAATGTGTCAAAAGGAGATTAATAGACAAACATGCGCTCATGGTTAAAAAGAGAAAAAACTGCTTCTTCTTACATTCGCTCTCTGTGTTGTAAACAAGGATTGCGACATGTTGAATATTATAATTCACCACGTGATGTCCTACCTCAGGTAACTCTGTGAATACTAAATTCCGTCACGTGACTTGTAAGGTACATGTAGCATGTTTTGTGCTAACTAGGACATTGTGTTCGAATACGTTAAGTCATCTGGCATGGATATACAATCTGCTTTAATTACATTGACGTGCTCATATTGTTAGCTTCGTTTTGAAACCTTTGTCAGAAGTGTATTTGTGCCATACAGAATGGAGAGGGAGATTGGAAAGAGTGACCACATTCTTTTTTTCAAACATGTCATTGTTATTTATCAAGTCTAATTTTAGACCCATATTTACAATGTTAGCTCCACCTCTTATGCATATCTAATGTTCATTCAAGGGCAGGTAAGTGTTAATTCACTATATTTTGAAAGCACTAAGGACAAAAAACATTGAATCATTTTATTGTATCACAGTCTAAAATCATTTTAAGATTTAAATTTGGTTCCAAATTGACAGGATTCTTTCATAAACATACAAAAGTGAAATAAAGTTTAGATATAAAAGCAACAGAAGCAACCGAAAAAGACCCAAAAACAGGCGTTAAGTGCAGTCATCCTTTAGCGCTATACATGTTCGTGACGTATATTGTATTCATACATGTAAATGATTTCTTAGCAGTATTCATGAATTAGCGCATCATTGTCTGCGCCAAAGCCGCTAAAATCAAGGAATTGAGTCAAGGAAAGAATTGAATGTGTTTTGAAAGAAACACTGTGTTTGTTAAAATAATGTGTTAAAAAAATGTATTGTTAATATTGAACAAAAATATTGGAATGCAGCGAATTGATAACTCGAAAGATACCTTATATTTTTTGCATAAATTACCATTGCACATAAATTTCCACATATATTTAAAGTTTGAAGTTATGTACTATGCCCAAAAAATATTGATTTTGACCTGTACAAAATCCCACAAGATGTTTAACATGCTGTAGCATGGATGATTTCTGCACAAAGCTTAAAAATTCGTATAAGAGTCTGTCATCATCAGTTCAGTCATGTTATAGGAACATGGACATGTCTGTCTAACCAATTTAAATGGGTAATTTAAAGTTTTATAGATTTATGTTAACAGAGAGTACTGTGGGTAGTATCATAGATTGATTAATATTACACACTGTTTATATACAGATAATGAAGTTCACGCGTGAGGGACACTACCAGATTGCCTGTAAGTGGTATTTTGATGCTACACACTCGGGGACGGATGACCCAGACACTACCATTAATCATCCTAACCAGTACTTTGATGAAAGTCAGGCCTTCCATTCAGGCAAAAAAGAGGGTAGGATGATGTTTCATTTATTTATGTATTTTGTTTTGTAATAAATGTATAGACAAAAAAAATTACAGGTACAGTGTTTTACAAAAGATGGTCTTTTAAAAAATTTTCAGTGTTGAGGAATCTCTTCAAAACAAAGTAACCCTTGCTTACATTTAACCTGTACAAGATCAAAAATAGAATACATCATATTAAAGCAGATTATTTAATATAAACTGAATGTATTCAGATATTTAATTTTTTTTTTATCAAAAAGAGACATATAATCTGAGCAACTTGCTCTAAGTACATGAATGTGTATGTTGTTTCTTGATTAATTTCTTATTTTTATTAAACAGGTAAAGTAATAAACACACCATCAAGAGCAGGAAGTCAAAGGTCAAGTCAGGGGACACCAATGTCACAGCCATCCCAGAGTTCTCAGCCAGTATCCCAGAATCCAATAGAAGATGATGAAATGATGGATGATGATAATTATATGGCAGCCATGGAGACTGTATAACAATAGTGGATGTTTTTTCTTCACTCAGAAAAAAATGAGTACTTCATGAGTTTTTCATGAGATGTGTCTAAATGATGAGATATGAAATCATTACAAATTGTATAAATATTTATTCTGTATGAAAAAGATTGCAATAATAATAATAATAATAAAGTACATATACATGCTACAAAAACATTGTTTGTATTGATAATGGAATTTGGAAGATATAAGGTTTTTAAAAAGTTTCAAGTGACCCTATGTTGAAGGGGATTCAAATTTGTTCAAATGGTTTGAAAAAGAAAAAAAAGGAAATAGGGTAGGGTTTACTGCGCCACAAAAGACAAAACTTTTTTGAAAGCTTCCCTGAGTGTAGATCCAGTCTATTCAAATCATGGTCCCTGTAGCTGGAGTGGGGCTGATGAAAATTTTGTCCATTTCCTGTCCTCATCGGGTGGAGGGTATTAAAGTTCATAGAAATGAAGGGCCACCTCTTTCAAGAAGGAGATAATTAAGAAACAGGGAATATTGGGTGGGGTGGTTAAAAAATCTTCTCAAGAACCACTGGGCCAGAAAAGATGAAACATGTGGAGCTTCCCGACATAGTGTATATTCAAGTTTGATCAAATCATGGGGGAGGGTGGGGTCACAATAGGAGATCAACTCTTTCATGGGGATATATGAAAAAAAATGTTTTAAAATCTCAAGAACAGGAGGGCCTTGATTAGTAATATTAAAATGCAATCATCTTAAGGTAGTACAGATACAAGTTTGTTCAAATACTGACCCCTTGAGATAGGTTTGGGCCACAGGGGAATGTAAGGGAAACTGTTTTAAAATCTTTTCAAGAACAATAGGGCCATGATTAGTAATATTAGTGGCATGAGTCGAACAGTTTAGAATCTACACTACCCAAAGAAGCCTTCACATAAGTTTCTTTTTTTTTTGGTCCAGTGTTTCTTGGAAGAACATTTTTAAGATATTTCTGATAAATTTCAATGTAAAAAAAATTTTATTCCCTATTTGATCCCTTATTATGCCCCCACCTGGGGTCATGATTTGAAATTGGAAACTATTTAAAAATTGCACTTCCTCAGGAAGCCTTCCCATTAGTTTCATCTTTACTAGTTCAGTGGTTCTCGAGATATTTAAAGAAATTTTCCTATATATATTTCAATGTAAATGTTTCAATGTAAAACTTTATTGTGGCCCCACCCTAGCCCCAGGGGTCATATTTTGGCCAATTCGGAATCTTCCTCAGGAGCTGTCCACTTAAGTTTCACCTTATCTAGCCTAGTTGTTCTTGAAAAGATTTTTCTTATATTTCAATGTAAAACTTTATCACCCATGGTGGCCCAACCAACCCAGTAAGTTTTCTGGCCTAGTGGTTCTTGAAAAGATTTTTAAAGATTTTTTATATGTTTTAATGCAAAATGTTCATCGCTTATTGTGGCCTCACTCTAATTCTTGTTTAAAAACTTTTAAATTTTTGAAATTTTAATGTAAAACTTTCATCCCCTATTGTGACCCAACCCTAACCCCATGAGGATAACCTTTTCTGGCCCAGTGATTCTTGAGAAGATTTTTCTTGTATGGTATATACCGTGTAATTATTTCAGTGTTAAACTTTCATCCCCTGTTGTGGCCCCACCTTAATCCAAAGGGTCATTATTTGAACAATTTAGAATCTACACTTCCTCAGGATGCTTCCAAGTCTGGACCAGTGGTTCTTGAAAAGATTTTTTAATGACCTCACTATTCTTGCCTTTTCATGATTATCTCCCCTTGGAAGTGGGCTTGGTCCTTCATTTGATCAATTTAGAATCCTATATGCCAGCTTTGGTTAAAATTGGCTTAGTGGTTCTTGAGAAGAAGTTAAAATATGAAGGATTATAGACAGATGGAAACTGGACAATTGGTGATGAGAAAATAAGAAAAGCTTGAGCTTTCAGCTCAGGTAAATTAAAAATGAGACAGATATCCTCTATCTTTGTTTAACAAAGACCAAGAGAGGCCAGTGCGAGAGAGAATGAGATGGGTTTTTAATTAATGGTGCTTGAGCACTACTGTTAAGTGTACAAGGCGATAGTAACAAATGGGGGCATTTTTGTTTATATTATACTTCTGTGGATCCTTTACAGTGTTGTATTATACTCTGGTGACCATTAATGCCTTTGGGTCTCCTGTTTCTTCAAATTATAGATCATGGAATAAGTGTAGGCAAAAATCAGGGAGCAGTTTTCACTTAGTGCATGTTTACTTCTTCTGCAGAACAGCAAGGCCATATTAGTAATAATGATTTGAAGCATCTCCATGATTTGTTCATGTTAGGTTGTATGTCATGACTCTTTTGGGCAAGGATGGGCCACAATAAGGGGTAAGAATTTTCGTGTATAAATCGGAAATTTTTAACAAGAGGGCCAAGGTTACTCCAATGAGTGTTATGGTCCATGGGCCTCTTATTATTTCAACTATTATTGAATGAAACTGCTCGTATGTATTCTGTAGGAGGATGGCTATTCGGTGCAGATGCAAAGCTGGTTTTCCTCCGCATGTCCTTTTCCAGTCTAATAGATCACCTTTGAAGCACATTATTCAAAAATATAACAGTTTGTCATGTGTTCCGCAGTCAATGCAATGACCCGAGATATTTTCATAAAATCTTGGGTGCATGTTTGTGAGCAACTCATTGTACTCAACTGTGCTACACTTTTCCATATCACTTTTAACTTCCCCTTCCTTTCCTTATTTAGCTCAATTTTAATGAGGCCATTTTCATTAATTTAAAACTTCCTACCAGAATTATAGATGAACAACTCCACTGTCACAAGTTTGCTCTTTGCTTATTTCAAAAAAGTTTTCAAGATACTGAAAGTATATCACATTTAGTGGTGTACTTGTTTTCTTTTCAGAGCCTTTAGCAGAAAGCAACTTCCGCCAAATCAAGTACATCGCTGAATGTCTGGAGTACATATACTGTGGAATCATTATTCATGGGGGCCAATTTTGATGGATTGCCTAAACTTTACAGGTTCAAGGGGATGTAATTTCTGTATTCACTCATATCTACAAAAGGAAAGATTAAACCCCAATTATTAATTCGTCGAGGATGTGAATTTGTGCATGAAGGGTACCCACAAATTCCATGAATATTGAGGTACCACGAAATCTAATGATTCCACAGTATTCATATCTCGCACATTGATATGCCTTTAATTTATGCTAACTCATTGAAAAGTCTTCTTTTCACTTAATAAAATACACTTAATAAAATACATTTACGGTATTAAAACATTATAAACTGATGTTGGGAAATGCAGTTCAACATTTTTTTTTACCTTTACATGTGTGACTTGACCTCACTTCCTGATAAGCATTCCAAATGTTTTCATATTTCAATGCCTTAACCCTAGTCAATGGTAATAATGCATCTCCATCAGGGACTTCTATCTGTAGTCAGTAGATACTGCTTGTCTTATAGAGACAGACCAATGTGTTTCCATTTCATCAAGTGCTGAACATATAGCTTCTTTCAACATGTAAAACTTCCCACATAAGAATGAACAAGAGTTTTCCTGTTTCATATCATTTATATAAAACTCTGTTCTCTGTTACATTTTACATTTATAGTATATTATTTATCATTATACACTACTAAATTGTATTGAAATGCATTGCTTCATCCCCCCCCCCCCCTTCTTTCCACTAGCTAACATTTCAAATAACATAACTATATATAGTTACACATGTATCATAAAACATACAAAATACATTAACTGTTTACTTATTCTACAAATTGTATATAAAATTTCCATCACTTGCATTGCATCATAAATCAACTGGTTCTTGTTTAATCACAACATTACTAAGATTTGCAATATCATTGTGCAGGATTGCTTCCTCTTGATTATCTTCCAGGTTTTCATCTTCTACTGGACACTCTTGTTTGATGACCATCCCTCCCACTCTCTTGATCACCTGACCTTGTCCATCAAGGTCCAGACTCATATCTATGGTCTTCACTTCCTCACCATGGTGCACAGTTGCCATGTGACTGTGAACAGTTTCAGTGGTAGTGGTGAACCATTGACATTTAACACACTCAAAGATGTGGGCTTTTTCATGTGCAAGTTTGTGCAATTCCAACTCTTTCTGTTCACAGTTATAGAAACCACAGTAATCTCTTTCACACATGTAGATCCTGGAGGACTTTCTCATCTTTCTGGCGACACAATCACGGAATATGACATCTTCTCCCGGATGCTCCCTTCTGATATGTCTTTTCATCAGCTCCATATTTTGGGTTACAAAGCTGGTAGAGCAGTATAAACACTCATAACCAACTGTGGGGGAGGACACGCTAGATACAGAAGATGCAGTTGACGGTGTGTTCCCTTTCGTGGTACTTGAAGCTTGTGGTTCAGCAGTGCTAGTTATCTGAGGTGTAAATGGTAGCAGCATTCTTTGAATTTCTGGATTGTCTTTCTTTATCTTGTGTTCTTGTATGGCATGGTTTAAAACCGTCTCTTCAGATGTATTTACAAATTTGCAGTTATCATGAGGACAAATACAGTAATAAGCAAATTGTCTGGAGATCCTCTTTTTCACATCAACAGTGCGTAAAGCCTCTTTCTTGTGATTGATCCTTATATGCTTCTTCATAAGGTTGCTTCCAAAGCACATGTGGTAGCAATGCATGCATCTGTACATTGGAGGCTGGTGCCCCTGGGCCCGCACTCTGACTGATGCTTCAATGGAGGCTTTTCTAGTGGGTCTGCCAGGAGAACCACTTCTACAAGCTTCATCCTTTACAAACTCTGTCATCATTTTCTGCATTTCCTCCTCTGAGACTTCCAAATCCAGGTCAATATCTTCCTCTTCAGCAGTGGCATCTTCTGTAGCATTATTCTCTGTTTCTGCCTCCAGAGCAACTTGTTTTGATGTCTTCCTCTCCACTGTTTCAACAACAGGAGGTGTGGAGGCAGGAACAGATGAAGTGGACTGATTTGCCAGCTCTTCCTCATCTTTGTGTTTGTCTTCTAGATGTCCAGTCAGTTCTTCTTCATTCCGAGTTTCCCAAAGACAGTGCCTGCAAAAGAACACATGGGTCTTTTTCTTCATTTTGTGGGACTGTAAATCCTTCATAACTGTTTTTAAATCTCGGTGGTTTGAAAGAACATGCTTTTTCACTCTGGTGTTGTTATTTGAGGTATAGCTGCAGTGAGTGCATGCATACTCAGCACTCTTTGAGGCCTTGAAGTTCTTGGCCATTTGGAATGCTTTCTGGGAAATTTTTGTGGAGAAGTTTCTTGTTAGTTCTAAACACTTTTTGGTGGCAAGTTCCACACTTTCTGGACAATTTTCCAATAACCATGGAGTACAGTTTTCAGAATGGCTGAGGTATTCCTCAGTTTTCTTGGTAGTGAACGAACAGTTTTTCCTATGACAAAAGAAAACATATCTCCTTTGCTTCAGCTTCACAGCTCTCATGTCCAAAGCATAGAGCACACAACCAGGGTGTTTCATTTGTAGATGTTCCTTGATCTTAAAGCACACAGGAGCATTAAAATTACAATGTGCACACTTGTATGTCAGTGGATACTTCTTCTTCTCTTCCTCTGGAATGTACTCTTCATCATCACTGTCATCTTCTGGTCCATCCTCTCGGACAACTGTAGAAGTGGCAGAATCATACTTTTTGGTTGAACTTGGTAGACCACTACCATCAGCAGGAGGGGACAAGGTCTTTTCTTGGGTCTGGTTGACATTTCCATATAAAAGTGCCAGGTTTGAAGTGGAGTACATTTTGGCATCTCTTTCTTTGATCTTGTTCATTTCTTCCTGGGAAGACACAAGCATGGCCACATATTTGTGAGCCTTACCATTGTGCTGTGTGTTGAGATGAGTTTTTAGGAATGTTTGGCTAAGAGTCACAAAGTCACAGTATCCACAGTTCCAGCACAAACCAGACGACACAGTGATGGTGTTTCCACTTTTCCCAGTAGTTGTGGACTGCATGTTTGCAGTAGCAATGGGTGGTGGGTTGTTGGATGAAGTGGATGTGTTATTAGTAGTTGGCTGTTTTTCTGTAGGTTTGTTCTGGTTACTGGGTCTTGATTTTGTGACCTTACCTACAACACTGAGATTTTTCTTTGCATTGCTTGGTGTCAGGATTTTGTCAGTGGTTTCACTATTGCTAGGAGTATAATTGTTCTCGTCATCAACCTCTTCTACTTCCATATCAAAGGCATCATATTCTTCATCTTTTTCAGTGGACTTCTTATCTTTTTTGGACTTTTTTGGAACTGGTTCCGATTTGTCTTCCATAGGTCTTTTTCTATCATTGCTTTGCAGAGCAATGTAGTCTGGTTGAAATATACAGTATTTCAGTGTCTTGGCTGTGTCTTTGAAGTCTTTGTGTGTGCGATCTTCATGGCTTATAACATCTGCCCTAGAAAACGTCTGGTAGGGGCAGAACTTGCAATGAAACCTATGGTCCATCACATGATGTAACAAAACTTCCTTATCTTCATTTTTGAATGGACAAAAATTGCACCAGTAAAACTTCAAATTATTTGGAACATAATTATTCCCATTTGCACTGGACATGGGAAAAGCCTTAGAAACTACAGCACATACCACCTCCTGCTTCATCTTTTCAAAGATTTCCTCTGCATTAGCATCACAAACAGACAGTTCCACAAGTGTGTCACTTAAATTTGGCATGTCTTCCTTTGGAATGGAACAAGTTTGTGTGGGGCTTTTAGGGCGAAGTAAGGATCCGGAGTCCTTTGATAAGTATTTCTCCCAACCAATCCTTCCTCGGGGCTTATAAATGGTGGTGTCTGCCTGTTCTAAGATTTCATCATTTTGTTTTAGTAAATTATCAATAACAGAATTTACAGTCAATTTGGAGTCCCCTGTTATCATGTTGTTAAGGATGGACTTTATCTTCTGACTGAAATCTTCACCATGTTGGTCTGTTCCTGGTGGTTCTGTCTCTCCATTTTCTGTGGAATTCAATGCATTGTCATACTCTGGGTCCAAAGGTTCATCCTTGACCTGGATACTTTCCTCCATGATACCTGAGAAGAAAAAATAAATATGAAAGACTACTTTTGGCAAAATTAATCTGAATAGACTATTAAATTTATGTAACTGTTAGAACTGTGTATTGTGAGGAAAAATAGTATCACAATGCATCATGATATTTCAGAAAAATATCCCAATATATCATGATATAACAAGATTTAAACTTACAGGTTTCTCTATTATAATTATTTTTGGGTCTTAAGAAAGGAAAATGTAGATTTCAGCATTCCTTTTTTTTGAAAAATCTTATTTCAAGTCTTTAGTATTTTCTGAAATCAAGATTCAAGCATTCTAGTTTTTTTATCTTTTAAATTTATAAAAAGAAGAATTTTTACTTCTCTTTTGGTTTTTAATGAGTTCTATCAAAAAATGCACATTGTATACAACCTGAAAGTATTAAAAAAAACTTGATTCTTTATGTATCAATGCATCGCCCTTCTGTATCACAATGCACCAATGTATTTTTTACATTTTTACACCCCCTAGTAACTGTATATATATATGAGAACAAATCTTTAAAAAGACTTCTCAAGAACAGCAGGGACACAAATGGTCACATGCTCAAGCAGTAAGATTCACATTTTTTAAAATCAGGCTGTATCAATTAAAAATCAAAGTACTGAAAGTACTGAAAGCCGGGCTTTAATATGTTCGAGTGTATTGTCCAATCCTAAATTAGTACATATTTGAAATCTTTCTTTCTGACCATTGATATTTAACAGGTAGAGTTTGTATGATTATGATTAACAATAACCCATCTACCAATAATTAAAATTTACGGTCCAGAACCCAACGTTAAGACCCCAGGATAGGACTTGGTGATATTTTTAATGAAAATACATTTATACCTTTCTAAACATTAAGCACACAATGGTTATGCATGGTAACAGTGCACTTTGAGTGGTTTTGCTGATTCATACAGGCACATATATAGTATCGGAGGAGCTAGGGGTGTCACCATTTTTCAAACATAAACTTTTACAATGGACAGTGTACATTGAAAGGTTGATTGACTCTTCGCAATCAAATTTAAATTAGAACTTTCAACTCACTCTTCGTAATATATACCAGGTATTTGTCACGAGCGACGAACAGATTTACTAAAAGCAAAATGGATAGTCTAATTTTAATTAGATTGTACCCATCATTTTATTGTAGCATATTAAAAGTAAGGTAATTTGGTAATGAATTAATGAAATTCGAAATGTGAAAGTAAGTTGTAGCCCACCCCTATTCCTTCTCCAACGGAATAGGATTTTCGGGTTTGGACAACTCTCCTTTTTTCTGATAATGATACTACATGCCTGTATTAATCAGAAAAGAAATATTCCTTATTTTTGGTCCTCTAGGAAACCAGCTGCACGAAAATTATAATTATCTAATCTTTATGACATGACTATGAGTCTAGTTCTAGTTCCAGGTTCGGCCATAATGTCATTGCCTGAGAAAATCATGATGTATTCAGGTCTTTATGGCTCGTACATAGATGGCTCTTCATTCTGAACAGGAAGTTTTGAAGCAAAGACTAGCCAACTTTTTCTGAAAAATTATAATGTGTTGTACTTAGATAAAGACTTATGAACATTTTTATATGTTGTTTTCTTTTAATTATATATTAACATAAACGATTTTTATTTCCCAGCACCCTTGAGAGCTTGCATGTGTTTTAAGACCATTTTTTTTTGGGGGGGGGGGGATGTGCGCGCACGCTCAATATACTGTGAAGCGCTTTGGGAGCACATGCGAGATGAATCCAAGGTGAGAAGTCTCGAACAAAATTTTCACATTCAAAACATACCATTGACTTTTCACCAAAAATTTGATCTGAATTTGTAAGCATAAAAATTTTCGACGCTAAATTGATTGTTAAATGGGTATAAATAATTTATATATTATACATAAACATATTCACATGAAATTTCTATCTTAAAGTTTACATTTTTATTTATTTATATTCCATGCTTCACAGAATATAAATCTTTATCCCAGTCATTTAAATGAATACTATTAAATTAAAATATTAACCAAATGGAATCTTGTTTATTTCATATTATGAGAGAAAACAAATAGTTTTGAACTTCATTTACATCACCTTTACACAAGATCTTAGTCGCTCGCGTGGCGCAGTGGTAAGAGTGTCTGCTCTAGAGTCGCGAAGTAAGGAGTTAATCCTTACGTCGCGGGTTCGAATCCCACTGTGGGACGTGGAGACCGGTCCTTCCGTTGAGACCGTATAAACCGAGGTCCCGTGTCGCAATAGGTGCTTGCACGAAAAAGATCCCTCACTGCTCAAAAGCCGTAAGTGCTGTTTATAGGACAAAATTTGAAGCTCTCCACCGGCAAGTGGTAGTGTCTCCATATGAGTGAAAAAATTCTCAAGAGGGACGTTAAACAACATACAAACAAACAAACACAAGATCTTAACCATCATAAGGATTTTTTGTTCGAAATTATTTATTAGAAAGGAGAAAGTTATTTTAATTGCATTCAGGGTTATCGAAGTAATACAGTATTTTCAAACCCTTTTCTTTAAACGCATTCAAATTTTAACTTTTTTATTTGAGTAGTAATATATTGAAAACATTACAGCATTACCAGTATTACAACTGTAAGATTAATCTTCATGAATATTTACATACATACATCATTAGGCTAAAAAAAAATGTGTTTATTTCCGGTTATACCCGACTGACCTCCTACACATTTTTTATTTTTTTTTTAATTCTACCAATAACATATGGCTAGTGAGGAGAATATATAAGTCATTTGTTTTATTTAATGTCACTAATTTAAACATTTAAGGTCACTAATTTTAACTTTTAAGAAAACAATTAATTTTTTTACAAAAAATGTTTGTCAATTGCCAAACTTTTTTTTTTTAAAAGAATGTTCAACCATATGGTTTGCTGATTTTTCTTTAGATATATTTGAATTAGAATTTAATTTTTAAAAAAAAAATTATATTCATATTGGTTTAATAATTTATGTAATTCATAGTTAAAGAAATGCACATATTTTTAGAGATATTCTTAAAATTTCAAACAAACAGTACTTTTATCGCCGACTAGATACACCAGATACACCATGTACAATTGTCAGGCGACCTAATTCAGGCATAACGCACATTAATTAATTCTTTAAACTCCAATTTACTTATCTATTTATTTGCTGAAAGACAAAACAGAGAATATAACCACTCACATAACATCAACGAAAACGATATGAAATATAGCAACCTGTCGAAAAGCCCGCGCTTATTGAAAATAGTTCGCTTACAATATGCATTCAGTAGCGTATGTGCACAAATTGTTATATCACGATTACCCTAATAAAGTAAATATCTAATTCCTCTTTCAATTTAATTCTCAAACAAAAATATTGATCAATTAACAATTCCGTAGATTGAGATGTAAAAAATATTTGTTTAAGTATCGTCTTTCAATGTGACTATTTTGTTTATCGGAAGCGTCTGCTTTGACGCTGTTAGGCTATTTGTTTACTTTTCTGAACATGTGCTATTTATAGTAAGGCAGTCGATCACGATGCCTACAGCCAGGACTTTGCTTTCAGCAAAGCCCGGCTAAAAAGTCTGTTTGTCATCTCCCAACTATTTCAACTTTATATTCACATCCATTTGATCATTATAATGCTAATCTATACAAGCCCATATTTAAAAAAAAATCCGGCCCTACCTACATATCGAATTTTTTTTATCCCTTATAGTCAGGAGAGGGCAAGAAAACATCCTTTTGAAGATGGCCGTATGTTTGAATATTTGGCCCCATGGGGTACCATGGGCCCCCAATGGGGTATCAAAAATTTTATCTGGGAATATATATGGAAAAATCTCTTAAATTCTTCTTCTCAATAACAGTAGGATCATGATAGTCGTATAGTTGTTAAACTTCAGTATCTTGAATATTGGTGTCTCAAAATCAATCACCATGGGTATGTTGAAGCGAGTTGGAAATCCCAACCACTCTTCTTTTTGTATTTTAACCTTCAAATTAATATCTCGAATCCCCACATATCTTAAAGGTTTCTTTAAGCCCCATTGACTTCAATGAGATGACAATGTTTGACTATATTTATCAAGTTTATATTATGCAAGCATATACAATTTAGATTTTTTAAATAATTATCCTTTGATTTGAACATATTTTATTGCAATAAATATATACATGGAATTGGGCACAAGTTCTAAAAACTCTTAAAATTCGCCCTCTCTTTAGATTATCCTTTAATGCTGATGTAAATTGTCATTCATTTTCTAATGGAAATTTAAAATATATTTTTATTTATTTCTTATGTGGCGATCAGACTGGTTCATTCCCCAGTTACCAGATAGCTCAGTTAGCAGAGCACCTGACTGGTGATTTAGGGAGCCTGGGTTCCAATCCTGGTCTGGTCCATTTCATTTTTCTCCCATGTTGGTTACACATCATTTATCTCTGTGACATCACAGACCTTTTGCTTTGATACATGTTGTTTGTACTGATGTTTTTACATTATAGTGAATTAGAAAGGGGGGGGGGGGAAGTATCTATATAAAAATATTAAAGACATCCATCTCCTTTTACTACAACAATTTGTTTTAAAATATTAGGTATCTATGGGACAAACATCCAATTTTAAATGAACTTGACCTAAAATCAAAAACATCATACGCCTAGAGCAAAACCTGTCGGTGCAATTTGACAACGGGGCGAAAAGCCATGATTCGATCCCAACTATCCGACTTTTTTAATGTTTAAATACCATATAGTATTTACTATTTATATATACAGTAGTGGAGACTAGTTTATCGGTATGTTCATCACCACATTTGATTACAATCTGCTGTAGATACATTAAATAATAAAACAAAACACTGCAAACAACGAGAATCATTGATGACAAGTTGTGCTGAAGATCAATAAAAATGTCGGACAATGGGCCAAAAGAAAACACGCTTCAGTTTTTTCGAATTATGCAAAAACTGGCCATGTTTGGTAACTCTAACCTTGGTCTCCTGAATTTTCTACACTTTACTCCAATTTAACACTTCTTTCAGGTCAATGTGTGACTGCAAACTCGCGTAAATTTTCTGCCACCCTGTCTGTCGAACCACCGACTTCAACGCGATTTGATGAAAAACAAGGGACGCAACTCGAAATCTACTTACTGTAATTTAAAGTAAAGTGGAAATGGAGATGGTAAAATAGCACTCAAATAGATTAGAATATTCTCCATTTCACAGTGTTTTATGATTCGATGTATTATTTATTTATTCATTTATTTATTTAATTATTTTTGGCTAAAGAAAAAAAAATTTAAAGAAAGGTGGGCGGATCAAGAATTTTCGGTTCTTGGGTATTTCCATAGGCCTACCATATCTTCAGGTTGAATAATCTAACTCATGCTGTGCTATTAACTTAATATTAATGCAGGCCCAAAGGACAATATCATATTAACGTTAGAGAGTTCTATCTAATCCCCACGGTACCCAACCATGCAATATTAAACACTGTTGAAAGTTCACCAAGTTTGTCACAAAAATTAAAAGTAACATCCTCAACGCACACATAAACATCAACATCTTTCGTCTCCGAAGCGCACTTTGAATGATATTGAGGCAGGATTTGAATATCAGCTGGACATTTTTTTTTTTTTTTTTTTTTTTTTGCTTAGCAAGAAATTTTTGGGTTGGAAGTTTGTTTTGGACGGGGTGGACCCCTCCCCCCCCCCCCCCCAGAAAAAATTCCTGAGGGCTGGGTTACATAATTGTTAACACAAAGCTGACGGAGGTGAATGTAAACTGCGTCTGGATCCGCGCCTGCAAGGGTGGTGGGGAGGTCAACCCTCCACCCCACCCCTTACCCAACTCTTCCCAACAATTTAAGCTGGTAAAGGAATGAAAATGTCATTTAGGCCAATAGACCATCAACTTAATTGTATATTGACGTTAAACGTTCAAATTCAGTCTAGTTGTACCAATTTTAAATTTTCTTGTCACAATCAAAAACACTATTTTTTAGAATGCTTGATATTCAAAAAGAGTTTTTTATTTCATAGACTAAAGGTAGATCTACATTAACCTTAAAAAACTTTTCTCTCATCAATTATACTTAGAAATACAAATTAGTTGATTTCGTAGAGCTCTCTTTCAGAAATGTTATTTTGTTTTTTGCTCAGCTTTGAAAAATAAAAATCTGAAACTCATATTATAAAGGATCAAATGTAAAATGAATATATGTTATAACAAATCACAGTGACTATAGTGTATACTTTAACAACACATTTAAAAAAAATCACTTTTAAATATATCATTATACAGTATTTTGAAAGAAGTATAAAAAAAAAACTCTCAGAAAACTCGTGTTACGTAGTACATACTGAGGGTATGAATAGAAAATTGTATCTTTGTTTGACAAATACATGTATATAATCTTAGCCAATATATTTTATCAATATCCATATCGCAGAAGTATAAAATAATAATGAAAACTAATGTATAAAAAATGTTGTGTCCAGATTATTGCTAAATAAATGAAAATAATATTGTCACGCAAAGTATATAGTGAATTGCGTTACGAAATTCTGTTGCCATGAAACCCTATAACCTTTGATGTTTTCCGTGTTTAAATTATATAAATCTTTGTTGAAAGATATATCATTTTGTTAGAAAAATATGTATTTTCTGTTTTCTACAAATGTAAAAAAAAAAAAAATCAAAAAATTAAAAATTCCGGTATAATCTACAGAATTCAAAATTTCCTTTTTCTTGTGACCTACGTTATCATATCTGAAAATTAAGACATCCCCTACTCTGCATTACATACCAGTATATAAAATGTTTCTTTTTTTTATTTTTTGTCCAAGCCACCTTACATTGAAAGAAATTCCACCCCTAGCTGTGATCTTGCGCTAAAATCCAATATATCCTCATATGTACTCGTTTATTTTAAAAAAGAAAATAGCATTACATCACAAATTCTTTTTGCAAGACAGAAACTCAATTAAAAGAACGATGAGAGAGTGCTTGTGTAAATAGACAAAGTTTAATTAGATCTGCGATTTGCAAACAATAACTTGCACGTGAATGCACTGGAAACACGGTCCAGGTCCAATATCTTTATAATCTACGATATACCAGCACCTGCATGTCCTTCGTTAAACTGATTCCTAGAGCTTGCAGAGAACGAAAATTCAGTAAGTATGATATATTTCATTGTTCAGTGTTGTATTGGGGGAGGGGGGGGGGGCAGTGTAAGATCCTTGTAGCATTTTGTTTAATTCCATGCTTAAAGTATATAAGTGAAAAGTTTTCAAGTGATTTTAGGGAGCGCACAGCCCCGCACGCTTATTTCTCTCTATTTAGCATTAATTCATTTATCAAGAAGTTATACATTTCCTGAAAGGTGAGCGCATATGCTGACACAGTCTTGAATTCTTCATACATTTTTGCTAATTACGCAGAATCAATCAACCATAATTGGAATGACCCGATAAGAACAGGAATCCTACAGAACCTGCCCGACCTCAGGTGTCAACAATATCTGAGCTCTCATAGTATCAATCTTGTCTTTTACATAAGGGGGGCTTTGTAATGTACACCCCTAGTTTTGGTCCTCCGTGCAGTTCATGCACAGACATATTGTATGCTGGTTATTTAATGAGTTCCTGTACAGCTCCTATCAATGTATCAATACTTGGGGGTATGTTTCTATTGTATTGTAATTCAAAGACGCTCATAATACACACAGTTATTTAAGACAGATTTATATATATAAACAGTCAGACAAACAATGTTTTTTCACACAAACGTTAGTCCACATAAAGGCCTCAATATAGTCTCCTGTGAAATATAGCCGGAGCGGACGGAAAAGTATAAATTTTTACGGACAGTCCAAATATGTACATTATGAAAGTTATTTCCAAATCACAGGTTTGTTTTTGATTTTATTTCTGGTAAATTTGTACAGACCCTGTCTACATTGATTTTATTTTCTGCATCGAATTTTTGCAGCATTTTCCCCGACCTTATTTTTAAATCATGCCGTGTTTTTAGTAATTAACTACTTCATTAAGACCGTGATATTGAAAACCCGGGCAATCGGAACGCTGACCACTTAAACAGATCGCTGAGATAATCTGATTTTGATATCGACTGATCGATAAATCTTAATCAATACAGGTCGTGGTAATGTCTTGATAAGAAGTTTGATTGACTTTTTGGACCCCAATAGTACTTCAACTTTTCAGTCATGACGGGTTAACCCAATTTTTTGTTTTATTGTTATTCTTTTTCAAATTTATTATTATAGCATTGTAAACTCTCCTTTTACTCAACAATACAGCGATATAAACTCCCCTTCAATTGAACAATATAGCAACGTCAAGTATTGAATTATGGTTTAAGGAAATTACCCCTATGTCCACTTAGAAGATAAGATGATTTATCTTTAAATGCTGTTTGTGGAATTATGATAGATTTTTGTTAACACCGTTCGTGAATTACATTAGAAAACACAAAATCGATTTTCCCCGTTAAGATATGATTTCGTTTAGCAAGAGTTACTTTATCGAAACGCCCTTTTCAGTTACATTTAACTTAAAAGGGTGAATACACGATGCTGGTCAATTTTAAACATCTTTATAATTAACCATCCCCTGGTATTTTCCATATGTGGAGGCAAGTGATTTAGCAATCATTTATTTGTGATTTTATTCGTTGTGTTACAGAAAGATCTTTAAAAATTGAAACTTCGACTTGGACAAAAAAACCTCATTCAGGGTGCAAACAGAACAAGCATAATAAAGGACTTAATTATCATAGGCAAACAACGTTCGCAACATTATGTGACAGGAATTAAATCTTTGATACCTAAACCAGCTATTCACAACGCTGGATTGTGACACCCTTATATTAATATTTTGGGATCCCACACATAGAATAGCAATAACTTACAGGTTCAGCTAATAAGTATTCGCGTCATGGCAGAGGTGTCACACATCAGGAACGCAGCGAACAGAACGCGACCTCTTGGAGAAGTCAAAGATGACATTGCGTACATGGTAAAACAGGACTCGAGATATACCACCCGTGACGATTACAGCGACGAAACCGGCGATGTTCAGAAGATGAAAGATGTAAAGGATAGTATACGCCATGCTGCACTCATCAATATCGTTGCAGCCGTTAACGATTCTTGTGAGGACGAGTCGGCACGTTCCCGTTTTTTGGAACAATCTCAGAGAAGTGCAGAAACCAATATGGCGCTTATATCAAACCTCGTCTTTCACAAGGATAGGTCCATCTCCATTCCAAAACCTCAGGTTTTCTTTGAACCCCCAAAAACGCTTTCAACGAAGAAACCGGTGTTTTACAAAAATTCGAAGGATGAAGTTCTGGAAGACATCGAACAAAGAAAACGGTGTGTTTCATTGACAAGAACCCGTATGCCAGTGGATGATGAACCTGAAAAAGCATTAACGGACAGACCAAAAAGTGAAAGCATACAGTTTTCAGTATCAATACAACAGCTTAAGGATGACACTAAATCGAACCCACCCACCCCACCATGGATGCAGAAGCCGATGAAAGTTAAGAATGCACGCTCGATGAGCCCAAGACGGCGATTCGTCTCCTTAAATAAGAAAATAGAAACAAAATCTGGAACACCAATTTCTAAATGTGAAGCAGTGGACATTATGGATGCGACAGAATGCTTACAAAACCGTTTCAAACCCCCGCCTGTTTCTCACATTGAGAGTTACGGGGAACAAATAGACAATGCTAGTACTGAAAATGATCCTAGCATATTTCGAGCACGATCTCTCCCATCGCTTTTCCCAGTAAAGAAAAAGAAGGAAGTGAAAGTTACTGATAAAAGTGGTAACGGTAGTGATAAAGACAAAGCAAAACTTATTGCACCATTCAAAAGACCTTCTGCAACAGCATATGGGTGTCTCCCTAATATGGTCATGGGCAAAACAATTCAAACGAAATCTGAAAACAATGACCAGTTGAACTTGGTACAAGATCAGAAGTTATATAATCGTGTTGAAAAAATATCGTCTGCTATAAAGGAAACCATTTCAAAATTTGAAACTCAAGAAGATTCCCCAAAAGCAGAGGAGGGTATCATTTCGCTGGAAGGACACTCCATACCTAATCCGCGACAACCCACAGTACCTGGTTCTTCCAAACTTCCTGAGAAACGTCTGCTCAATAGGCCTCAAACAGGGCCAGATTACATGAAAATGAATTCAGTGCAAGAAAGGAGAATTTTACGTGATCTTGACCACCACTTCAACGAACTTCACCGAACGTTGTCTCATCGAAGTAATCTATTAAGTGATAATACTAGTCAAACTGTTCAGGCCACGGCTTATGATATAGCCAATTATGGTTTAGTAGGTAAGAAATTTAAATCGAAAAATACAGACAAACTTTCAAGTGAAAGGAATAGGTTTTTTCAACAGAAAATGGGGGTTAAACCCAAGTCAACGAAAAGGGTGACATTTGCCCCGGTGGAGGAAAATCTTAATGCTAGTGAAGTAAGAAATACCACGAATTCTATCTGTGATGAGAGACAAGACTCATCTCGCACAAAAAGAGCAATAAATCAAGTAAACGTAAGAACTGGATCATCATCTATGAAAGCTGTGTCTTCCGGAGAGTTATCCCGCCTTAAAAAGCGTATCATTCCGGACCAGTTCAATTCTGATCCAAAGCCAAATTATGATCTCATGGACAATATCAGAATATCTGGTATGTCTTCTAGAGAAAACAGTAGTGTCCCTCCCCGACCGCCTTCACGGATGTCCGAGGTCAGATCGATGGGGTCGGAGGGTGTCACTTCTTCATATTTCGATGAAGTCGCGTTCGATTGGAATGACCGTGAGACCGATGCTGCTGATCGTGCAAGTTCAAATGTACCCAAAAGTTATGGTGCGTCATCATTTTATCCTGACAGTACTAAGATTAAACTCAATTTCAACCAATATCAGTATAGTGACTCTGAAGAAAGCTCTGAAGAGGAAGATAATGAAACGTATCGTATTGTAAAAGCCGTGGATTTAGGTACGCTGTCGGGTTATCAACACAGGAAATTCCGGAAACCGCCTACAAAACTAGAAACGTCGACAACCCATTTCGTCAAAATTAAAGTAAAATGATCAGGATGTTTCTCTCTCATTAACGAAAATAACTACCAAACTGTAAAACACGATGGACGATCGATTCAGACACGATAAACAACCTAAATATTTTGGAGCAGGATAAGACTTATTTATGACCTGTATATTTATCTATTCTCTTCTCATTACCATGAATAAATGCTTTTCTGATCAATAAAGAATTAAAGAGGATAATGATAGCACATTATCAGCACATGTGATTACACAGCAACCTGTGCATTCAGACAGTCGGAAAAATACAACAGAGCTGAATTTCGTGAAAAAAATCTTAACAGTTTTATCTGGTGGATTAAGTGTCATTCATAGTTCTTTTGGAAAAATGTGATAAATTTAATTTGGATGAGCCGATTGCAATGACGGCGTTTCTCGGCTTGGATATATTGAGAAAATATTCAAGGTTGCTAGTTTTGTTTTGTTTAATTAAGGCCTGGAAACTGTGCATCTACAATGTCAGCGATAACAATCTCTGTGCTATACGAGAAATGGTTCTAGACAAGCAGGCAACATAATGCCTATAGAAGTATATTACAAAACATGTGCCAAATATTAATTATTATTTTAACAATAAAACAAAATCACCACCTGGGCTGGAATAATTTATTTCTTTGGTTTAGACCCACACTAGGTATATTGGGGCTGGGGCACATGGATTTTTGTGTAGTGTAAAATTTGGCAACATTTCACAAACTTAGAGAGTGAGAGAGAGATAAAATGTGTTGTCCTCAGTCTATGAAGACAAATTTCATACATGTAGTTTTCAAGGCTATTATTTTGTAAAAATTAATTTTGAACCATGAAATCTTAATCACTGAATTCAAAATTTGCCATTTCTCCAATGACCTTGTATGTTTTTTTTTTTTTCATGCTGAAAAGAAATTTATCCTATGCACAGGATGCAAAATTTTGCATTTTAGTTGCACACAAGGAGACACACCAGGTCATACATAGATTCTTGCTGTCTCACTCTCTCCTATCCATGTTCTGACTATACCTAATATATCTACTGAATGCACCCAAGTTAAAAAAAAAATCATTTCTGATTATCTCCCCCCCCCCCCCCCCCCCCTTTTCAAGGATCTTTTTTTCATAACTTGAAGACTTTTGAAACAGTGCAAAGGGAGTGTGCAACTTCACATATCATACTCTTCTCTGATGACCAGAACTTTAATGAAAGGGAAGGCCAAGACATAAATATCCTGTTATCAAGGCTATGATATTATAAGCAAAACTATCAATACAATTATACCAAATTATTCACAACAAAGTTAACATAAACCAGATTGTATTTATAATGATAATTTTTATTAAAAAATATAATGTATGTAACAAAAATCTTATATTAATTCACAAAACAAAAAAAGTAATCTTTACATTCTTAGTACAAAAAAACAACAACACATTCTTCAATAACTGAAAATATCACTTCACACACTCCTCAGAATTTGTTTTGGTGTTATTCAGTATAGTACACTTGCCTGTTAAGCTTCCTCAGAACTTGTAGGGATCTTACACTCACTAAAGCATTCAAAACTAAGTATTAAGCATACCACAATAAAAACGTGTGTGTATACAGTTTATTTGATGGGAAACTTGCAAATTAAAAAAGATGATGAGAGTTTGAGAAGAAAGTGCCTCAAGTTTACAAATAACAAACATGAACTCAGCCACTGCATTGTGCTATGCTGTTATTATTATTGATAGCCTTTGTCGTTCCTTAACCACGAAATGAATTGTACACTCAGGACTGAACAATGGAAGTTTCCAAAACTTTCTAAACAAATATTGTGAGTCTCATGTTTGTCCTTGCATAAAGAACCATTGTGAAGGTCATGCACATGTTTATTGATAATGTAAATGGACACATTCTGAAAGTTTGTTGACAGAAGGCAAAGTTGGTTGGTTCAGAACAATACTTGTGATTTAAATTTCTTAGGAATAAGTAAATTACGAATCAATATCCAGGTAAAAAAACTCACAAAAAGCCAATTATAACAAACATGTTAAATACATGTAGGCCTATAAAAATCACTGGATAATATACTAAGGATTCCTTAATACATACTGCCCACCACGTTTAACATTTCTGATTTAATAATGCATACAACAATAACTCACATGATGTAGTCTAAGTAAATGAAAGTACAAAATGAAAGTACAAAAATGAAAGACTGATGGTGTAAACAAGAAGAACAAACTGTCAAGTAATGACAGAATCTTACATTACAATGTTTATAATGCTGTATATAAAATAGGAGATTCTTTTGGTTACAAAATTATTGTGCAAAATTCACAGCATACAGATCTAACATGGCCAGCCAGTTAGAAATCAAAGAAACTAAATAAAAATATCAGCAATATCTTATAGAATATCATATATGAAAAAAGAAATCTGATTAAGTAAAACAAAGATATGTACAGAAAATGAGAGTAAAAAGGACAATCACACTTAATGTCACCTGGGATATTTCTAAAATTAAAACATGTGTCATCACAGATAGAATCAAGAAGAAAAAAAAGATGTAAAATTGATGGATTGCTAAAAAAAAACCCCAAGAAAATAAACATCAAATATCATCACTGAATCTTTGTCCAGTTCAGTTTCTATTCAGTACATACACTTAAGTCTTCCTCAATGACCCTTTCAAGTTCACCGAGTATTTTTGGACATCCATTTAAAGAGGTTCATGTTTAAGCACTTGAATGCTGATCCAACGCTCTAGAAGATTTGAACGTTAGACATTGCGTTTGAGCTACGGGTACTGCTCCTGGCACTGCTGGGGCGAATCAGGTCCACCGTACTCCCAGTGAGACTCTCATCATCTGTGTACGTCATGCTCTGGTAATCTGAAGTCAAGGAATTACATATTCAAAAGAGGTGTGATAAAAAAAAAAAATGTGTAACTTTATAATTAAAAAAGTCAACAAAGATTAAATAGCTATCTCAGTGAAGTAAAAAAAAAAAAAGACTAGAACTTTTATCAGATGAATGTTTCATAAGAAACAATAGTTAATTCAATCATTACAGTGTTTGTGTTACACATCCAGAAAACATGGGATCTGAAAGAAGATTATATCCCTAGATATTGTACACATGTACATGCATCATCTATGCAAGTTGTGTCCAGGTCAAGCCTATAAATACTATGGTATATACCTGATCAAATCTTGACCAAAGATGTGGAAAATGTACATCAAATGCAGTATCTAAAGCAAAAGAGAATTAAATATCACTGATATTAGACATACCATATTCTGCCCTTAATCTGCCGTGGGGTTGTCGAAGCTCTATTGTAGATCCTCCTAAGCTAGATCCAGCAATACTGTCAGTATCCGAGAAGCCAGAAGTCCCGCCTACAGGATATACACCATTATCTATTAATAAAATTGACAACATTAGGTACATGCAAAACATATATGGACTAATATGGAGCTGTATAAGATGAAAGAGAAATTTGCCAGTACAAACTGTAGTTTCCAAAATATACCCGAGGAATTAATTATCGCATAATTTCGCGAGAAGCGCAACAGGCGAAATAAAATTACTCGCTTTTATTTTATGGTGCTAAATTCTCTGGATCAAACATCTACTCGCGAATTATTGTTCTTGCGATTTGATATCTAAGGGCCATTTCGCGATATAAAGTACTCGCATAAAAAAAAGGAATAATCACATTAATACCAGAACCGTGGAATCTTATTGTAACTCTGGTGAATTTATGATAGAATCACTAGATTAAAGCATTTTGAGTTTGATACATATATGCACATGCAGGTCTACATCTTTAAGTACACAAGCATGTATGTATGAATGCTTCTTACCTTTTTTGAAACTACTGGATTTCTTTCTACGCGACTGATCAGGAATCTCATCATCCAACAAATCTGTTTGATCTTTGGCAAAGTTTATAAATACCTAAACGATAAACACAAACTACTTATGTTAGAGTTTAATAGCAATAACAAGCAGTGTACTGCATATACATGTATGTATTTAACAGTTACATGCATGTTTATGAACTCTTAAAACTGGCAAGAAATCATGTTTGATACAAAATAGAAACCAGACCAAATTCTAATGTAATCACTATATCTTCTTATTTTAGTGAATTCAAATTAAAACTTATGACCAGATAAGCAAAATTTGTTTTTATTATTTACAGTAAATGGGAATTTACATTTTGGAGATTCTCATAAATTAGTGTTCACTTTTCATGAATTAGTCCATTCAAGACAGTGTAAAGTGAAGTAAACCAGAGGCCTGTTCAACGGAGCAAACGTTCGTGAACGCTAAAAAAAATTCCTTATCCCTCCAACAGAAATGCTGGCAAGTGCTTGCAAATGTTTGCTCTGCTGAACAGGCCTCAGGTTTTCCTTTTTTCTTCAAAATTTACCTGATCCAAAGTAGTCTGTGAGACAGAGTAGTCCTCAATATTGAGTCTGGACTTGGCTTTTTCTAGCTGCCCAAAAATACTGGACAATTTGATTCGGGATTTCAGCTGGTATTGTAACATGTTGTGATGGGCTTCCAGAAGTTCAGCTCCTCGGAACGTGGAGCATATAAAATCCTCCACATTCTTCATGTCTGGATTCTCACCAGCTACTCGGACTATAATGGTGTAACCTTCACCAAATCTGTTAAGAGTAAATAGAAAATAAATAAATGAATTTGACATAGATGTAAATAATGTGTATAACCTAAATATAGCCATACTTACAAAATATCATAGAAACAGTAAGAACATTTGTAATACATGTTGTCTTATACTGTACCAGGTAGTATAAAGGAGATCTCTTTGGGGTATAAATGATATGCATATATAATACATGTGAACAATACAAAAGTATATGTACATGTTTTATTACAATTTTTAAACAAAGGACACAGAAAAGGAATATGGATAAAGCTGGCTAACAATGTATGGTACTTGTAAGTCAAGTTTGAGTAGTATAATATGCTGACCTATTTTTCAGATGTTGAATGCTCCCCAGACAACGGAAAGTTCCATTCACCATAATGGCCAGTCTGCCACACAGAGCCTCACATTCTTCCATACTGTGAATGCAAGAAAAATGAGTCATCAATTGACTCTTAAACCTAACATACATGTGTACTTACTGAAAATGTTCTGATACTTTTAAAATTCCTCCAATTTTTGTTAAGAAGGACCTCTAGAATAGTAATTGTCAGTCATGCATTACCTGTGAGAGGTGAGAATAACTGAACGTCCATCCTTGATAATGTTCTTAATACAGTTCCATAAGAATCTCCGAGCCCTGGGGTCCATTCCTGTCGTGGGCTCATCCTTTATGGGGCAGAAAAAAAGATCAGTGAAGTAAAACGAGACAATTTCTGGCTATTAGGATATACTTGTACATGTATTCTTTTTTTGTGTTAAAGATTTGGTTTCAAAACAGAGATGGATTGCACAAAACTAAATTTTTTCTTGTAGTATATATTGACCGTACTTACAAGGAATATGATCTGAGGATTCCCTATCAGTGAGATGGCAGTGGACAGCTTGCGTTTGTTTCCACCAGAGTAACTCCCTGACAATTTATCAGCATAAATCAACAGTCCTAGTTTTCTGATAGCCCAATCTGACACCTACAAAACATTTTTTTAATCATAAAAATCTTCTACTAAATTATTCTAAAATACATGTATAATACAGTATACTGTATATGAGATTTAATTCAGAAAAAACAATTTTTTCTGGAAATATTTTTTTTTCACGTTTACCCTTTATTTACAAATAACTTTTCACATTTTCACTAAAGCCATATACTCCTATATTTAGTATTATTAGATTGTGTTCTTTGAGTACCCTGTTGACATCTTTTCCCTGCACTCCCCGCAAACGGGCATAGAATCGTAAGATTTCCCTCCCTGTCAAGAGGGGATCAAAGGCATCAAACTGAGGACAGTACCCAATGTCTCGGCGAACCTTCACCATGTCCGTCAAAATGCTGTAAAAAAGTTAACGCGAAATGTTGAAAAAAGTAATTACTAATAAAGATCTGAAATGCCATGGATGGCATTCAGAAATTCCTTTATTACATGTACATATATGTGAGGAATTTATTTTATACAGATAATCATTTGTTATTTGGTAAAACAGGGTAAAAATAAAATGATCTCAGAATAAGCAGGTATTAATATATCCATGTTTTCTGATACATGTTCATTGTAATTGCATTTAGAAGTGCATTACAATTGAAACTTTGTGATTGATATTATTCACCTGTTGTTGTTTAAGAAAGCATTTCCTTCGGTTACAAAGACATCTCCTGTCAGCATCTTGAATGTGGTGGTCTTCCCCGCTCCGTTCACTCCTAATAAACCAAAACACTGGCCTTTAGGGACTCCCACACAAAGTCTGTCAACTGCTGTGTTCCGTCCTTTCTTACCAAACAATCGATAAACCTGGTAAAAGATTATCACTTATGTATATCTCGACTTTTGTAACACTGCTCATAATTACAAAGAAATGCATCACCACAGATTTAGATAGATTTCAAGTATATTGAAATTTCTTTTCACTAAATTAATCCACATGTAAAAAAATCCTAATTCATTTTATCACCTAAATTATCTTGATTCCATCAAATTGCGGTTCAGTCATAGGCTTTATAATACTTATATAAAGGGTGTTAAGAAAGTTTGTTCCAAAAATTAAATAAAATATTTTTGAAAAATTTCAAACTCGTGATGAAAAGATTGATTTTCCAGTTTAAAAAAATCACGAGATTGTGCTATCAATTTATGATATTAAATTTCTAGCAGAAAGTTATGGGAATTTTTTAATGTATGCAATTTATATACATCTTTTAAACACCCAAGTGACAGATTTGCTTGAAATTTTGGTGAAAATGTAGGATTGGTTACTTTTGTTTCTTTTCATCTTCGCTAGCCAAGGGTTTCTGATACGCTACTCTCCTCATAAACCCTTGGCATACGGTGCTGACAAAAGACGGGATTGTTTTTGTCACGTGATCATGATTCTTACAGATTGCGTCATCGACAGAAATAAAAAGCGTATTTAAAAAAAAATTGTTTTTAAAGAATAATTAACAAGAAGGTATTGAGTTATGTTAATTTGTTACTTAAACATGTAAAAATGCAAATCTACATCTTCAGTATAGATTCTTAATCACATATTATGCACGTTGCTTTAGATATTGGATGACACCATATAGCTATTTATAGAATGGCATGTTATCTTACGGATCATTGTTTACTTGCGTTTTACATTACCGATGTTAAAGAGTCAAGATATATCCCGAACGCAAATATCGTCATTTAGAAAAAACAATTGCTGATTGGTCGAATGATGTCGATCAACTCCAATCACAACTTGAGAAAAAAATCCCAACTTTTTTTAACACCGTATGCCAAGGGCTTATGAGGAGAGTAGCGTATCAGAAACCCTTGGCTAGCGAAGATGGTTTCTTTTTAGCTTACCTTGCATCATACAAAACTGATTAATTCGGTGAAAATAAAGCAAAGTTACTTTTCAAAAGAATAGGTTTGCCAATGGAATTTTATATTGAAATGATAAGTTCTGCATATGTATTTAAAAGGCTATATTGGTATGTAAGTTTAAGATATTTCAAAGATGTGTTTTATCTTTGATTTTTCTGTACAGACATCATATGTATCAATATCTTCCTTACCACTTTCCATTTTAACAAAAAGAAAAAAAAAACATCAGTAGCAAGATTGAACTCTCTGAACATGAAATATCACAAATTTTAAATACATGCATCTTCATTGTTTTCAAGAATTAAAGGAAAATGTGGAATAAACTTTCTTAAAATTTAATCCTTACCTTAGTGAGATTCTCGAATCTGAGGATGTCATCTTTTGCTCCTCCTGACTTAATCCTTACCTTAGTGAGATTCTGGAGTCTGAGGATGTCATTTTTTTCTCCTCCTGACTTAATCCTTACCTTAGTGAGATTCTGGAGTCTGAGGATGTCATCCTTTGCTTCTCCTGACTTAATCCTCTTCCTCTCTGCTGCTACATCCTCATCCTCATCATCCAGAGGTTTGTGGGTAGGTCTCGGTGACCAGAAACACATCCTGTGTTACAAAGACATTCATTTTCAAGTTGTAGGTACATGTACTTATTCATGCAGTAATAAATGGTCATAGGGATTTCGTTTTTTATCTGACATTTGTAAAGTTGTGAAAAACACAATTGATTTTTCCTAACTTTGAAGGGAAAAAAAAACATAAACTGAAGAGTAGCTTTCACTTATTGCCTGATATAATAATATTTTCCTTCTGATTACTCAGAGATTTATACAAAATTTTCTGATTTATGTCTTTCTAACCCGCTAAATAATCAGATGAAAAAAACATTTATGTACTTTTCTTTAAATGCTAAGAGTATACGTACATGAATATGCAGTTGCTCCATAAATAACATCAAGGTGAAGTGTTAAGCCCCACTGTAACAAGAAATCTTACCCTCGTTTAATGAAGAAATTGTATTCAATCAGTAAGTTGACACTGAAGAACAAAATGCCAATGAAAAACATGGACAACAGGTTTCTTCCCACTACATCAAACTTAAACGGACTTGTGATGATTGTTTCACCTGCAAAGAGAGAAAAATTTATGCTTATTTCTAGAACAGATCACGAAGCAATATGTGCAGAACATTCATACATGAAATGCCTGTATATGAAATGCAACACTACATGACTATTAGTTGTGTAATTTAAGTACCCAGTAGAGCTGCAGCATCTGTGACCCTCTGATTGTACGCCATGTCCATCAGCCCTCTCCCCAGACCATACTGAGGCAACAGCAAGAAAACTCGCTTCAGAATCGTATTTATATTCTTCAACTCCTGCAAAATATAATAAATAACACTTAAGATTTATTTTACTCCATGTTTTGAATGCATTTTACAATACAGCACACTATGCAACACACTCTGCATACACTGAATTTCAAGGGACAAAACAAGGGTCAAACAAAATACCCCATTCTCCTTCAGAGCGGGGGTACATGTATAACAAAAATATTCACTATATTTTAAGTTCTGTATAAACAAAGTTAAAATTCAAATGTGTTCTGTATTTGAAGGAATATACAAAATACAATTCAAATTTTTTGATTACAATGAAATGACACAAAAGCAAGTACATTTCTCAAAAACAGATTTTCCTTAGAAAAAAAGCCTGGTTAGGGTGGGGATGCAGTCATTTCTTTTCCTGTAAGACACTGCATTTTGCAAGGGATAGTATTGATATTCATGATTAACAGATAACTCTGAATGATCATGGCATTTCATATCCTCAATCCTGCTTTAACAATATAAGAAATTTCAATTTAACCCATACCTGAAAGCTACATTATAAATTCAAGAAATAGACAATATGGTATGAGCATTATGTTTCTTTCAATAGCTGGTAATTCAGTTATTCAATACATGGAATATGGTGAATATCAATATATTTTTTTATTCTATTTCTTTTAGATAAAACATGATATGTTCAGCATAATTGAGAGAGAGAGAGAGAGAGAGAGAGAGAGAGAGAGAGAGAGAGAGGGTCTTTTTACCTCATCATCTGCCTGTAAGAACTCTATAACATAGGTGGCCAGTGTAGAGGTGGTACCCAGGAAGATGTTGACAGACTGAAGCACCACCATGGAGGTGCTGGGGATGCTGAAGAGGCGGGAGAAGGGGTACATCACAGGAATCATGGACCACCTATAGAACAAAGTGGTGTAAATCATCAGTAACTCATACACACATCTCATTCATATACCATGTATTCCATTAATCAAATACTGTACACATGGTTTTATTAAAGGGTTGCAAGTTTGAGGATTTTCTTTTCATTAGAAATATGGCAGAGTGGAAAGTCATTACACTAGTTTTAATATTCCATTTTAGAGAGATGAGAAATTTGATGGTTGGTAATATTGACAATTTAAAACTTGTTTATCAAGGTGTTTCCAGGTCATCAACCTTTCTGCCCTTACAGAACACTGTAGATGTCAATATTGGTTACATTTTTTCAGCAAAGGTATTAATTGATCAATTACAGGTATATGTTATTCTCGCTCTATACTTAAAAACACTGACAAAAAAAATCACTTATTCCCTCACTCTCTGCTGGATTATACTGAATTATATTTACTTGAATCATTCCATTTTCTACTGCTGGGATCAATATTTTCAATTGCTGCAAATTTCTCCCCCACTTAAACACTCGATTGATTGAGATCCTTAAAATTAATACTAATTTGGCTATATTTCAGCCAAGTCTTATCAGACAAAAAAAAAAAAAAAAAAAAAAAAAAAAAAAAAAAAAAACATAAGAAAAGTTAACAATGTGACATAGGATTTGTAAACAATCAGCAAACATTCTTCTTCTATGAATACTCACCCATACAAAAATAGGAGCAGTACTAAGCAAGGCCAGTTGTTTGATCCTACATAAGACTTATTGTCAAAGGCCACAAAAATGATTATACAGATGAAGCAGGGCAACAGGTAATTCATCTACAAGTAAAATTTATATACACTACATCAATGAAGAATTAGCATAATGCAAAAATACATATACTACTTAACATAGCTACCCAAGTACAGGGTATTTTAACACTATAAATACATTTTCAATCACACCAAATATTTTTTCACGCAAGAAAATACAAGTATTGCAGTTTTTTGGTTCTCCGCAAAGAGTTCAAAAGTTTATAACTTTCACATGATAAAAAATGTGCCAAGGACTCACCATATCCCATAAAAAGTTGGACACCCAATAAATAACGGGATTGACACCACTGACAAACTGAAGATGTTTGGAGTTGGAAGCTCTCTCCTCTATCAGAACCATTGTAAAACTGGCAGGTACGAATGACATAGCAAATATAACACATATCGCAATCACTACATCCAGGGCAGCTTGGTACCTGTGTAGCAAAGAAAATATATTTCAAATATTTACAATTTAAGTAATTGTGCAACATATCTAGCAGCCTGCTGTGATGAATGTAATTCTTATGTGTCTGTCATGTGCTATGTGACAACAAACAAGGAATGCTAGATAGAACACTTACATCAGATTCTCGTTGAGCTGGTCTTTAGTCAGCTCCATGGGGTGATTGACAGTGGTAATTCCATAGAGAGTTGGGTCCTGTGAGGGGTCAAGGTTACTCCGTAGAATCAGGTTATTCATGGCACTCATGTAAGCTACCACAGCAAACCAGCCTTTGTTGTTATACCAGACCTACATGTCCATACAGTGACAACATGAGAGATAATTATTCAATAATGAAGCTTTTGAAATTAATTTAACAAAGAACAGAAAGATGGTCTAAAATTAATATCCCTCTTCTCAAGAAATCATTCTGTTCTAAAGCACCTTCCAAACAAATGCAAAGATCACTGATAAATGTTGAAATGCAATACATGTATTACAACAAAAACAAAATTTTTTCATCTATATTGGCTGAAGAAAAACTAGGTAGACAATTTCTAATAAAAGTGAACTGTATGTCTTGAACCCTTGATGTTTGGAACAACTTTTTTTTTATTTGGAACAAAATCTGACCTTATTGACCCTCTGAGTGGCCAATCCCTGCAGTGTTTCTATTAGCACAGTCTCGTTAAATGAAGTTGTTGGAGTCCCGTTGTTTAGCACAGTAAACAGGTTGTCTATGACAATCCTCAGCTCTGTGGCATTAAATGCTGCTAATGGATCTTCATCTCCAAATGAAAATCCTCCAAATCTAAGAAATTTTCTCAAATATTAACATAATTTTCATGTATTGTCTTTACATGGCACCTAAAATTTCTGATTGGTGCCTAAAATTTCTCTACAAGTCCCCAAATAGGCGACCATTTTATATTGCCTTGGCGATCGTCAAATTCCAAAATATTATCTTTTTTTTTTTCTAAATAGGTGAAAAGAAGTTTAAAGGTTAGCAATGAGCATGTCACGTGTTTTCTTTGTCACCTTGTTTATCACCTTTTAAAGTCAACGCCTGAGAAAAAATTGCCTGGCGACTAAAAATTTACAATTGTGACTAAATTTTTTTGACTAGGAGCCAGCTGGCGGCTAAATTTTAGAGGTCATTTAGAGGCCTGCTATATAATTGCATAAAGATAATTTATTTATATCACTGAATTAATTCTTGCAATAACAAAAACAAATAATTTATGGGGTGTGTTTTATCTCCTATCATCAATGATTGTAAAGAATTATGGTGGAGTGTTCAGAGTTCTTTGAATTCTGCCAAGAAAATCTGTTTGCCCAGTGTGTAAACTCGTTGAATTTCCACTGCTCTTCTGTTTAATTTATTGAGCTCACTATCATGAAAGATTGATTCAGAAATGGCTTTGTCTAAAAAAAATCTTTTAGTTACTGAGTAAATGAAATAATCAGATTTACTAAATTTGCATAACTTGATAAAAATATCATCTGGAAGGTTAAGTGACTAGAATATTGAATAAACTAAGCCTCAGAATACTTTAATATCCCTTAAATTTTTCCTAAATTTCCTAATATACAAAAAATTCAAAGGTAATCCATGCTTCAACGGTGTCTTGTACAATTCATTACTGTACATGACTAATCTTGAACAATTCATTAGTGTACACGACTTATCTTGTACAATTCATTAGTGTACACGACTTATCTTCTGAATCACTTGTACAGACCTCCTTTTCTGGTATCTCTCCATAGTTTTGACGAGCCAGTCACTGATGTTCCTCGCCGTCATGTTGTACAGATAGTCAGAGGTGGGTAACAGTTTCTTGGGGGGCTCTGGGCCACCTGCACCTGTAATACATAGACCAGAAACAGCAACATTTATCAAGATGTAATTTTCATAGGTTTAATGCAGCTTTCAGAAAACTTTTTTTAAGAAAAGAAGTTTTAAGAAAACTTAGTGTACATGAATAAATGAATAAGTTATTTGCAACTTATAACTGAACAAGAGAGTTTGATAATGCAAAAGAAATCTTATAAAAAATCATACTTGCATATACAACATGTGACAAAACTTTTTTTTTTTTTTACCTGGAGGGCATTTCTGGAAGCCAGTGTCACAAGAACAGCTTGGAGAGTCAATGGTGGTGTTGGTATAGATTGGGCGGAAGTTCATCCAGTTAGAGCTCTCTCCAGTACAAGGATAATCCCTGAAAATAAACATCATCATTGTGTTCTACTGATATCCTCATTATACCAGCATATAAAATACAGCATGGCTTCAAATTAAAATTTATTCCAAAGCAAGTGTATTAAAGCATTATGAAATGTGAATTTAAAGTACCACCAGTTTACTACCAATAGGGAGCTCACAACTCAATTGCAACTCTTATACATCTAACAAAGTGAATAAAATTATTTTTAAAAGCACTATAAAGAAATTGGTATGTGAAAAATATGTAATGGAAATCTCAAGAACTCTCACTCTATAGAGTAGACACTTGGATTCAGACAGCGATTTCCGATTCCTGGACGAGTTAGCAGACTCTGAACCATTTTATCTGACCAATCCTGACCCTTGCCATCATTGCTGAAAAAAAGTTTCTCTCCAATCAATCTTATCATTGTAACTGATTACATTCATGAAACATACAGTTCATAGGACATGCACAAAAACAGAAATGAAACTTTTCTTAAATACCTTCACTCTGATTAAAAAAAAAAATAAATTGTGAATTCACATCAAATATGACAGTAATAACTTGTATTGCCTTTTAATGTACACTGTATGTTTCCTTAGTTACTTTCTCCATTTAACAAAACCAAAAAAAGCTACATGCATCATTATCCAAAAATACTTTCTACTTACCTATAGAAGACATAGAGATGTTTGTCTCCCTTGGTTGGTACATATCTCCAGGGCTGAAGCTCCAGGGGAGGCTGTTTGTCCCGAGGGGGTGTTATCTCAGCAAATATCATGGCCAATAACACAAACAATGCAGGCATGATTATCTGAAACAAAAAACATCATTGGTCATTCTCAATATTTTATCTAAATATTTTCTTTTTCAAAGCAGCAGTACTCTTGCATCTTAATACAACAGGTGTACACATATAAATTGATGCAAATCAATTAAAGTGATTTTTTCTGTTGAATCTATCAATCTCACCTCAAAGAAGAAACCCTTTTTGGACCTTCTGAGATGGTGGAATCGTTTGATGAACAGAGCTTGGAACTGTCTCAAAAATAGGAATTTTCCACTGACTTTCTTGTAGTCATCCATTCTGAAGCCTGCCTCTGTAGGTGCCTCACTTGTTGGGATCGAAGCCAGAGATTCTACAAAGCATTTAATTTCTTCATTTCAAATATACAACTGAACTTCATTATCTCAAACACCATGGATGCATCAAATTGAGTTGGCAGTCCCAAACACTTATTCATTTTCATCTTTCATTGTCTATTAAAACTAGATTGTTTAGATTTCTTTAAGTCCAAGCCCTTCTAACCGAAGGATTAATAATTAATTCTTGCCAATTATCAAACAGATTTAACAATCAAACAGAATCAGAAATATAACCTGATCAGTGCAGATTAGCAAAAGTAGGAAAAGTACATAAATACAGTGCATGTCACTTAGCAGATCAGTTTTGTAGTGTTGAACATTCAACTACCAAACATGTCCATGAGAGGGACAAGGACACATAGACAATAAGTATAATGACATACCTGTATCACTTATGAGATCCTCCGAATCAATTCTGCCATACTTTTTTCCCTTCACCAGACTTTTAAGGAATGACTTCTTCTTTTTTCTCCTGAAGCTAAGTCTGCTCACTGGACGAGCAAATCGACCACCTGATTAACAAGAATAAAAGTAATTTTACAACTATACGACAATTTTTTTTTTTTTTTTTTATTACGTCTGATGAATAAGCAAAAGTCTAATGCTGTTCATCTAATGTCAACATTGATGGAGACAAGTTGTTTTAAAATACTTTTTTTAAGTACCGTAAAACATGCTTCTACATGTAAAGTGCCAGGGACAAAATTTTGATTTGTTATATCCATCCAGTTCACAACATGTTTTAAAACTATGGTGAATTAAAATCACTTAGCTGTAAGCAAAAATTCATTATAAGCATGTTGACTTTCACCATGTTTTACTATATACAAATGTACTTACTATCTGTAAGATCTTCAAGCCTGCTTCGCCTGACTTCATCAGGTAATTCATCTTCAGTTGTTTGTTCGGCAACCCTCAAGAATACCTAAAATAACAACACAGGGGCTTAGTTACTCTATACAAGTATATGTATATAAACACTTTAAAGTTTACATGTACATTAAAAAACATGACTTGCCTCTTCTAAGCTTGTATCTGAGATTCCAAAGCTGGAAACTCCAAGATTTCTGTGGTTCTTTTCTAAATCTGTGAACAAAGTTTCAAACTTCCTGAGTTCAGATTCACCATCAGGAAGCTGGAACACAAGTTCTGTTGTTGTCTCCTCAATCAACCGAGCTTGTTTGATATGACGCTTAATGAAAGCACTCAAACGATCGACAGAGAAACCTGTGAAGTAATATAAATACTGTAGTTTAATTGGACGAAATTTTTAACCATTTAATGCAAAACTTGCTTCATTATAAATAAACATACATGTAGATAACAATATTTTATTTTTTTAGAAGTTGGGTTTCCGAAGTTTCAGTGTGTCTGTAGAACAAAAGATATGAATTAAAATTAAAAAAAAACACACACACAATTTTTTCTTAGTTTGGACACTACACCCTATTGATCCAAAAGAACTCTGCAAAGCCAAGTCTCTACTGTGTTAAGCATACATGTATGTTCTAACTTGTAAAATAAAGCCATATCTTTGAAAAATTACGAACATGTTCATGTATAGGAGTACAGTGTCACTGTTTACCTAGGATCATGGTGGCTTCTTCTGGGGGTGGGGTTGGAGGCTTTGAAGGGGGATCACTCCCTGAATCACTCTTGGAATTCTCATCATATCCTTCATCATCTGGCTCTTTGATTGATGCCTGGAAGAAGTTTGTGTCATATATAAGTCTTTTTCAGCTAAACAGAACTTAAGAAAACCAAACAATAGCAGTAATAAAAAAGAATAGCATAAAAATTAACAACATCAAACATCAGGCTTGTGGGCCAAAAAACTAAGATGAGCTCTTAATCTCAATTTAACATAAGGAATGAATAGTATGAATGTGAGACTGAGATCAAAAGTGAGCTCATCTAAGTTTTATAGACTTATGAAATAAAAGAAAGTGGATGCAACTACATAACTGAGACACAAAACATTAGACAAGAACTTGAGTGTTATCTATTTCATACAAAATCATCAAACAACTAACAAGAACAGAATATGCAGCTATGAATGAAATGAAATGTCCCCAAAGACAAAACAGCACTTAAAATTCTTTTTCCCGTTATAATTTATCCATCTTCAAGAGTAGGACATAGAAACAGGTTTCTAGAGATAGAGAATACCACTGATGTTTCCAGACTAATATATCTCAAGATATTCTGGCCAATCTTACTACAACTTAAAAAACACATTAGCAGTATTCCAAAATTTACATGCATGGAGTATGCACATGTACATGAAACAAAAAGGTGATGGTCAGGTTCACAACTCCTTTGAAGCTTTTCTTTGAATAGCCTAGGATAGAGACAAAGATGACCACAAGAAAAGACGACAGCCATGCACAAAGAAAATAAGACACCTGTTTGAATTTTAAAACAAACATAGAAATTATCCATAGAGAAACAGTTGCACTCCTGTGAAATTTCACTGTGTGTTTCAAAAATCCTTTATGCATAAGAGAAAGACATTCCTACTTTTACTACAATGCAATAATTTGTTCTGCAAAACATCCATCAATATCTACACACATACTTACCAAGTTTGCCTGTGAATGTTCCACAAATTTGTTGCATAATAAGGAACAAATATATATACATGTGTATTTACTATCCTTCAGAAATCTGAGGTTCTTTACAGGAAACTGTTGCAAAATTCTTTAATATTTCACACACCATGCATTATATCGATAAAGCTGTAAGAAGTTCTTACCTTGACAGCACGTACGGTCCGGATACTTGATACAGTGCTAGGTCTGGAATCAATTGACATCGTCTCATCTGGATAATCATCGTCGTCATCATCAGATTCCATATCCTTCCCATATTCTCCTTCTTTGCCTCGTACCAATGTTAAATAGAACCCGCTCCCATACTGAGATTTCAGGAAGAGACTGGAGCCACAACAGCAGAGTTTTCCATGAGAGATAATGGCAATCCTATCTCCCAATACATCAGCTTCATCCATGTGGTGTGTAGATAGGATAATGGTCCTCTCTATCAATAATCAAACTGATTATTATAACTATCAAGAACTTTAAAATTACTCAGAACATCACTTACAAAAGGTTCAAAAGGACATGGTTCATAAATTTTACATTAAAGAAGTACATACACTGTATGCAGCAGTTAGGTTTAAAAACAAGAGGCCCATGGGCCACAACGCTCACCTGAATAACTTTGGCCCTGCTGCTCTTCACCAGACGATCTTTTTGTAATACCTATTGTGACCCCGCCCTACCCATGGGGGTCATGATTCTAACAATTTGGAATCTACACTACCCCAGGATGTTTCCATATAAGTTTCAGCTTTACTGGCCAAGAGGTTCTTGAGGAGAAAATTTTTAAAGATTTTTCCTATATATTTCAATGTAAAACTTGGATTCCCTTTTGTGGCCCCGCCCTACCCCCAGGGGTCAAGATTTGAATAGTTTAGAAGTTACGCTGCCTCAGGATGCTTCTACAAAAGTCTTAGCATTCCTGACCAAGTGGTTCTTGAGAAGAAGATTTTTTTTCTATATATTTCAATATAAAAATTGGATTCCCTTTTGTGGCCCCGCCCTTCCCCCGGGGGTCATGATTTTAACAATTTAGAATCTACACTACCCCAGCATGCTTCCACATAAGTTTCAGCTTTTCTGGCCCCGTGGTTCTTGAGAAGAAGATTTTTAAAAAAAAATTCTATGTATTTCAATGTAAACCTTGGATTCCCTATTGTGGCCCCGCCCTTCCCCTGGGGGTCATGATTTTAACAATTTAGAATTTACACTACCCCAGCATGCTTCCACATAAGTTTCAGCTTTTCTGGCCCAGTGGTTCTTGAGAAGAAGATTTTTAAAGATTTTTCCTATATATTTCTATGTAAAACATTGATTCCACATTGTGGCCTTGCCCTACCCCCGGGGGTCATGATTTGAACAATTTTGAATCTACACTACCCCAGGATGCTTCCACATAAGTTTCAGCTTTACTGGCCCTGTGGTTCTTGAGAAGAAGATTTTTTAATGACCCCACCCTATTTTTGTCTTCTCTTGATTATCTCCCCTTGTGAGGGGACTTGCCCCTTCATGTTAACAATTTAAATTCCCCTTCACCCAAGGATGCTTTGTACCAAGTTTGGTCAAAATTGGCCCAGTGGTTCTTGAGAAGAAGTCAAAAATGTGAAAAGTTTACAGACGGACGGACAGACAGACAGACGGACAGACAGACAGACAGACAGACAGACGGACGGACGGATGAGGGACAAAATGTGATCAGAAAAGCTCACTTGAGCCTTCGGCTCAGGTGAGCTAAAAAAGGGTTTTATTCAAGATTATCTAATTTCCATGCTTAACCTGAATTCTTAATAATGAGGGAGGTGAATCAAAATAAATATACAGTGTATTTTTAGTTCAACTAATTTTTTTAAGAAGCCACTGACTTTTCTTGAGTTTGATGAGTAGTTCCCAGATGGATCTCCGAGCATATGGATCTATTCCAGCTGTTGGTTCATCCAGAATGACTGTCTTAGCATTTCCACAGAAAGCAATGGCTACTGACAGCTTCCTCTTCATACCACCTGAATATAAAATAAAATCTTTCTTCAGTTTCTCATGTATATGGAAATCCTTGCATTTTGAATATCACTTGGAAAAAATTTTTCTATACACTTTCTTTAGAACGTAACTCAGAATGGGACATACGTGTCCATATAACTTAATCATGTTACCTGGTAAATATTGACAAACACGTTATCCAGGTATTTACAGTAAAACAACCTTATAGCGAACATGCTAATAATGAATTGACACTCACAGAGAAGTGTTTTTTTTCTATCCCCCTCGGCTTTAAAACATACTATGAACTTAACAGATATTACGAATTACGTTTATGGTGAAGTAAAATCGACCATCCTTGGCATTTTGTTACATGCGTATTTTACCTGACAGTGAGGATGACAACTCCTTCCTCTTGTGAGGTAGTCCTACATCTTTGATCATCTGCTCCATCTCCTGTTTCACTTTCTCATTCTCTAGTCCTCTCAGACGGGCAAAGAACCACAAGTGTTCTTCCACTGTCAGACTGCGTAAAATGATAATCAAATATGCATGTTAGGTTTGTTCCTGCAAAAACCTCCAAAGTCTATTCTTCATAACATCACTTAGTCAGCTAGTGTTACTGTATACAGGGAAATTTTCACCCCTGTTTTATTTTTGCTACTTTTGCACTCCTTGCAATTGGGCGAATTTAAAATGGGGCAATTTCAAAGAAACAGCATTATCTCTAAAACAGAACTGTGTCTTGTTGAATTCAAAATGGAACAAATTGTTTGCAAGTGTAAAGGGGCAAAAATAAGATGGGGCGAAAATAACCCTGCATACAGTATATTACATTTTGATCCAATAATATGATACAATTTGACCTTCAAATCTGAATGATCTAATATACATGTACATACATTTTTTCGATGCATATTACTTCAATGCAAATAACCATTTTTCTGGCACTTTTGGGGGGCTATAACTTTGACATTAAGAGTCTTACCCATCAAACAGAACGTTATGCTGAGGACACATTCCTAGGCTCTTCCTTATGTTATCCATCTCAGTCTGAATGTTATATCCATAAATATACGCAGTTCCATCTGTAGGCTCAAACAAGCCTGTCAAAATGGACCTGTAATTAAGAGTATGAGAAGACATTTTCCCCAACAAAATGCTTAAAGGATTTAGTTAAACATAAAAGAATTCCACATGTACTTCTAATGCACTTATTCTCAGTGATGAGTTCATAGAGCTTATCAACTAAATACTGTATATCACTACCATTTAACTTTCACCAGATAATAGTATTACATGTATTCTCAAGGTATGATTTTTTAATATTTTCACTATGGTTATAACAAGTAATTAGTTTCTTTTTGGTTTTGTTGAGAATATATTTTTTGTATTGGAACAATCTGTAGAAATTATGTGAAAATAAAGTTCATTCTGTTCTTACATGGTGGTTGTCTTCCCTGCTCCATTGTGGCCGAGGAATGAAGTGATCTGCCCCTCATAGAAGTTAATGCTGAGGTTGTCCACTGCCAGTTTCTTCCCCTGTTTGTACACTTTACGAAGGTTTCTAATGGACACACCTAGCTTTTTGTTCTTTGGTTCAGCTTCAACATTTACATCTGCAATGAATGAAAATTGACTTATGTTCTCTTTTGCTTTGCTCAGTCAAACATACCTGGTAAATCATTTCCTGTTCTAATATAAATATAAAACAAACACAGAATGTAGGACAAGACATTTTTAGCCATTTCTTAAAGCCAAAGTTGTACTAAGACGATCACGTCCGTAGGAGGGCAAGATCAGCATCCATATAACGGGTGATATTGTAGTATATCCTGATGGGAAACACTACCAAAGTCTACTGCTGAAAGACGAAATCATTGAACATCCTGATAGAAAAGGTTTACTGCCAATATTCAACAAACTTCATTCAATATCTGAAAATACATCTAAAATTGTAGCACTTTTTTTTTTTAATGAAACTGGTGAGTCATTGGCTAACTTTTGTCGAGTGATTACAAAAACCAATTCCAAAATTTAAATACCCTAAACCGAATGCCTGCAAATTACTACGATAAACAAAATAGTGCCCCTTAATATTACGAACTTCACAAAATAATTTAAATACCCAATAGTTGAAAGCGTTACTGGCCTAGTGGAACAAGCGGAAGCTCTCAAAGCCAAAGGACCCCAGTTCAAATCCACTGAGGGACACCCATCTTTTTTACTTTTTTTAAAACAAAAAGAAATTTATTGCATTCAATATATGGTATTTAAGCTAGTTATTTGTAAAAATGAAACAAATATGCAATAATCACTTTATAGGAAAAATGGACTGAAAAATTTTCAGCATTAATGGTCTAATCTTTTTCTTCACATATAAAAATCCAAATACTTATACTTTGAAGAGCAATAAAAGGACTTAAAAGAAAGTCTGCAGACATAAGCATGCAGAAAATAATATCTGATATTCTTTTCAAGAAAGAACTGACTGGTATATAATGAAACTTGGAGAACTACTGCAAAGCAAGCAACCACAGACATCACACACAAATATTTACATAGATCAAATCCAGGATATTTCTCAAACAATTATTGTAATGTTACACTGTACATTTTTTTCAAAGGCCTAAAATTATAATTATCTAACGCATGTCTTCTGTGCATGTTACACCATGTAATGCATATCATCCAATCCCAGTTTTTAAAGTAAAGGAACATATCACATATTAGACACGGCTAAGAGGAATATGACACAAAGGAAAATAAGCAAATGACATGTAAGCACCAAGGACTGACACTTTAATTTCTGATATCAATATTACATGTATATCTGCTTTCTTTCCACAAAACACTGATTTTACTCCATGCCTCTTGTCATGCTATCCCAGTCTAATAACAGAATTAGTTACATGCTAAGACAACAAGGGAATCAGATGCTGAAATATGTAGCAGAACTAATTTTGGCCTTACAATTCAAAACAAAACCCTTTGCATGCAAAAGTGTGAATTTAGATATCAAAATACCTGGATTTATTTGCAACAGTGGGATTCCTTGAAATATAACACAGACAACAATTCATGTTTTGATACAGTAACACCAACAATGAATTTCCAATGAGCTAATTAGCATGAACATTTTCTCCTTTTTATACAAGCCCTTAACTGACCGTTGTTCCCCAGCTCTACATCAGGTACGTTAATCATGTAGGACCTGCCCTCTGCCTTCGCACTGGACACTCCACACCAATAGGACTTTTGGAAAGGGAAGTAGAACTTTCTGGCAATTCCATATTGACCTGAAATAATGCCTTCCATTTTATCACAGATGTTAGATCATAAGCAACCTACACGTACATGTATGTGTCGTGTAGGAATAAGTACATTAACCTCATTTTATACTTATCGCATTGACACAGTCTGTGATCAAGAAGACAGATATAGTTAATTTGTATTTTTCTTTTGTGCACTGGTTTAATTACATGTACAGTAAAACTTGTTGAATCCGGATGTTTTGCATTCCGGCATGTTGTTCAGTCTGGCGTAATATTTAGTCCCTTGAATTTTCTTTATAATTTATGTTAAATAAATGTTGTTCAATCCAGATCTTGCCTATTCTGTAAACCGGCCGCTATTTACAGAACTAACTGCTCATAATTAGTACAAATTATCTCCTCTAATCCGGCCACTTATTTTACATGTGCCCGCTGGTCATTATAGAAGTCTCGCGTGGAGTAATTATTGTCCCGTTAATGATCTATCCTGTATCGACAGTTTGGATTTTAACAAACGTGATAAAAAAAATGGCTCAAGTAAGGTGGAGAAACTCGCAAAAGAATGAGTGATAGTGATGGTTATATGTAGCATGTCTGTAGAAAACTTGGAGACTTATTCATGACCTCCTTTCTACTTTCGTTTCGCGTGCACGAAGTGCAATTAGAATTACTTCCCTTTGTGTCGCTAGTTTACAACGACCATAGCGACAGAAGATTTTGGTTCAATATTCATTACATGTATGACTTTTGAAATTAACTAATACAGTGTCTAAATATTCAAACATATTGATTTTAAAAGAAAGAAATTAATTAGGAATCTGTCCCTAACAAAATAATATTTACAGCTACGATGAGGTTTTGGAGTTGTTTAAAACATTAAACGATTTTCAAATTTGATAAATGACCAAGAGATATTATATTTCGATACTGATTAAAAAACTTAAACAGAAATGAAAATTCTGAAAAACAGAGTTTCAAAACAAACGGAAATAGACGATTTTTTTTAAATGACACACTTGATCAAGTATTTATTTACCATGCACTCTTTGTTTATATCTATGTAATTTTTAACTTGCTATATCGGTTCAATTTTCTCCAATCCGGATGTTGCCTAATCCGGCCAAAAATTTTGGAACCACTGGTCGCCGGATTAGACAAGTTTTACTGTATATACATAACACGTAAGTAACCTTTGTTTACACTCTTACCCACAGAAGACTAGAATTGGAACGGAATCTTTTTTATTCTTTAAATGATGGAACTGACTAAAGATGCACTAATTTGTGTGTCCATACCTGGAAATACAGCCTCAATGTACCAAGTAGCAATTCCATAAATAACGGAGTCCAGAAGCATCATGAAGATGCAGTACAACATGTTGAAGTCATCATCCACTATCGGACTGGAGGCAATATTGGACCACTGAATGCCTATAGACTGTTCTTCATATCGAGCTAGATAGCTACAACCCCAGCCAAACGCCACCCCCGAGGAAAAACACTGAAAGAATCCAATTGTAAACAATATACATGTATGTACATGTATTAAAGGAGTTCTGATTATGTACAAGTCATACTAAAAGAAAAGCTTTATAAGATAGTGGCATATCATTATCAAATGTACCAATTCTATATCATGCTCAAAAGGGAAAATATAAGTAGTGTCTCAAAGTTTCTATAGAAAAAAATCATGTACACATAAATCAGTTACTTAATTGCCTTTTTAAAACTATTCACTGATGGAAAATCTCTTGATTGCATTAAATGTCTAATTACACCACAGCAAATTTTTTTATCCTGCTTACCGAGAGAACTTTTTGTCCCGTGGTTAAATAGTCTTCCCACTGTGCTGCCAGAGTGTAGGGTAGATACATAATAAAGTACAGGAAACCGGCCACACAAGCAGCCAAGTTTGCTCGGTTAAAGAATGTACTGTACAAGAAGCACTGCATGATGGTGGATATTCCAAAAGCAGTGAAGAACACGATAAGAACACCCGCATCGGAGTGCTCCAGGACTCTGCCAGTCTGTAAAAAACAATTAAACATCAAACCATAAACATGAATTGTTTTGCTGTTGCATTCAAATTTGTTCATTATTAATACCATCTTCTAAATCACTACATGTAGACGTAGTAGGTTATTTATGATGAAACAAGACTTAATTTTTTTCCAGTGCCGCCAACAACGTATTTATATTGCATGTACAAAAGATCTAATGATAAAATTCCATTTTTTAAAAAAGTTTTTGTGTCATAAGGCCTCACCTTAATAATGATGGTGAGAATGATAATAGTGAGGAACATCATAACAAATGCATTGATGAACCAGGCGACCCAGTGAACAGCATTACTCAGTCCCATTATCTTCATTACTTCCTTCAGTCGGTTCTCTTTCTCGTACACGATGCTCTTACAGATCATGGCAACCGATAAAACCCAGGCTAAAACCAGGAACAGAGGCAAGGACCGGGATATTGCAAATATAAACCTACAATAAAAAGTTGTCAGCAATTATAAGGAAACGGAAATGAAGGACAGGTATACCAACTAAATTACTACGAAAATTATTGACCTGTCTCTGGTATAACAAGGGTAGGGAAATTGCTGGGTCTCCACTCCCACAGACACTTGTTTCTGGGTCTGAACATTGATGATGGCATGGTCAACCATGTCCTGAATGTAAGCAAAGCCGTAAGTAATGTACTTCGTGTCACGTCCAGCACTTGCCCTAGGTCCTGGTCGCCAGTACCTTAAATAGAGATGGGCAATGTGTTAAGTGAACTTGTAATCACTTGCCTGGTAGGATTAAACATCTACTACAAAAGGTAGACTTACTTGTCTTGTATTCTTGTTGTTCCATCAATCTTATCTGTATCCATTCTAATGGAGTACTTCACATGAGTGGGCAAGGGCACCTGATCATTGTCTGATACTTTAAACTCCAATGCTGCAAAAAAGAAAAGTTACCGTTATATGTGAATGTTTAATTCATCATTGAAAGCCTGTCACCAGCGGGAATTAGATTCAGCATTAATTTCCTACCTGCCCAGAATTTAAATTCCTCAATCATTCTTACACCATCATTGATCATCTGCCTCTCATTTTTGTAGCCCACAAACTTATTCAAGTTGAAGCACTGAAAAAACACAGAGGAATAATAGCAAGCTACAACAGAATGGGCTGTAAGGTACTCTATGGAAGACCTAAGTGATGCTCAGTGTTGAGCTTGCTAAGAAATTTTAATGTTATAATTATACAAAATGTACACGTATGAATCCTTCCTTAAATTAATCATAATTAAAAATTGCTTAATGGGAATCACATCAAAATTAAGTAGAGCAAAGTTTCCTTTGCACAGAAGTTTTTTATCCCTTGTGACATATTAGCATAGCATTACAGTGATGCACATGTACACCACCATTTAACTATAAAATGTGCAATTCAACAGTGCTATCAAAACAGAGTAGAACAACATCCTGCAAGACAAACATGTACATACTCCTCCAAACTCTGCAATTCCAAGAGCCAACATTCTGGTGCTGTTGATGGCATTTCTCCAATCATAACCTGTTGCATTGCGGTTGTTTAAAAAGCCATTCAGTGATTCACAGGCACTGTAGTTCTGGGCAATGTTTCCAGTGTTCCTTAACTGGTCAAAAGCCAAATCACAGAGACAGGAACCAGTTAAAGTCTACAAGAAATAAATAACAAAACTGATTTACTCATTTAAAAATTGGCATCTCTTTATGCAAAATTAAGTTCCTTATCAATGTGTCAAATAAACAATACATAAAGATAGGAACAGGTACTTCTTTGTAAACAGTTGCCTTAAACAAACAAATGTGAATATCAACACCTATTATTATTTTTTCTTAGTCATGTAACTAGAATATTTATGTATTTTCATATCAATACAATGTATGCAAAAGGAAAGTCCTATGGTTAAATTTTGTCAAGAAAAAGATCCCTCCCAAGAACACATAAGATTTTACTACATTATTCACATCAAGAAAACTAACCCGCAGGAATTCAATGTTTGCACTGTTGTTAAGGTAGTTATATATTTCGAAGTAGTAGTCCTGGCTGAAGTTCCTGGCAAGGTTGATCACTCTTGCAAACTCCTCAAAGGTCTGGTTGGCCTAAATACATAAACATTGCTCATCAGTGATTTACATGTACAAGTTGCCAAACACTTATAAAAGTCAACAAAAAGGAAGATGGATCATTAAAAACAATTACTGTCAGATCCTGTTATTTTGAACTCGATGGGACCAAGAAAAAACTTCGAGATATCAGAGGATTCGAGATATCAGGAGTAAAATACTTAAAGAATAAGTGGTTGGGACTTCTAAATCACTTTGACATATCCATGGTATTCGAGATATCAGTGTTCAGGATACCAAAGTTCAGCTGTATTATTAACAAACTCTTTTTTATGTTTTATTTTTTGAATACAGAATTATTACCTTTTTTCTTGTTTCAAAATCTGAAGATATTTTAAAACATGGAACACAACCAGGGTTTTTGATCATGTGGTGTCAAATTTTCTTCTATTTTGAAAATCCACTCCACAAAGAGTCTTGACTTTGCCATATGAAAATTTATTTTTTCTCGTCATTTTTTAAAGCTTTCATTTTTCTCTAGTCAGTAATTTTACTCTTTCATTTTCCTTGAGTCAGTAAATTTACCTGTTTTATTTTTCTTAAGTCAATAATTTTACCATTTTTACTAGTCAGTAATTTTATTTCTTTCATTTTCCTCTAGTCAGTAATATTACCTTTTTTCACTAGTCAGTAATTTTAGCTCTTTCATTTTCATCTAGTCAGTAATTTTAGCTTTTTTACTAGTCAGTAATTTTAGCTTTTTCATTTTCCTCTAGTCAGTAATTTTAGCTTTTTTTTTTTTTTTTTTTTTTTTTTTTTTTTTTTTCCTCTAGTCAGTAATTTTAGCTTTTTCACTAGTCAGTAATTTTAGCCTTTTCAATAGTCAGTAATTTCAGTTCTTTCATTTTCCTCTTGTCAGTAATTTTATCTTTTCCTCTAGACAGTAATTTTACCTCTTTAATGACTTTTCTGACAGCGGGTGTATCTGGGTAGTAAAGAATCTTTCCCTGTAACATTGGCAGAATCTGCTTCCAAATGACACGAGTGGTGCGCCTACTGTACATTGTGGCATTAATTGTGGCACAAATACCACCTGTACACAAACAAGCAGACACTAATTACAGATCATATCTGAAGGATTTTTAAAAATTATAATGAATTTTATGAAGACAAATCACAATAATTAGAGATTACTTGACTGGAAATATTTGATTCATGTGAATTTTATTATTCGTGAATAACAGATGAATTTTGTCAGCCATAATTATTAATTCTAGTTAATATGGAGCTACTGTGAACAAAATCTAAAATAAAGATTTTGTTTAAGATATAGCACTAGTTTTTGCCATTTTCAGTATACCTGACTCTCCAGCAGTGCCGTTAACTGTGTTGTTCCCCCTCTGGCCATTTCCCCCAGTCTGTCCTCCTCCGGTGGCAAAAAGACCCCCCAGTCCAGCAGCTAGGCCAGAACTGGCCATCCCAAACACAGAGTTACTCCGCCCACACACCAGCCTCCCAATGTCCATCCCTGACCCCACTGTGGACTGGCCATCCTGAACTAAGTCCTGGAAAAGCTTGACCAGATCATTCAGACTGGACAGCTGCTGGATCTACAAGGCAGGAAAAATATATATAGGGAATATCTTATACTCTGTTAGATCCTATTTTTAGATTAAACTAATATTAGTGAATGTTTAATTATGCCTAATATAATATTCATCCACCATTAACATTAGCAACAAAATAATAAATTGTAAATGTGAAAAATAATGCCAAAGGTCAGAGAGATCTAACCTTGACTTTTCTCTTATCTAAAATTTGCTCTTAAAACATAATAATCTAAAGCACTGAGGCATGAAAATAACCTCTAATGGACCTTCATACCAGTATTCTGTTGGAAAATAAAATATTTGACATCCAGCTACTTACGTCCTGGTATGCCTTCAACAGAGCAGGCAGAGCACTGGCGTCTATCACTGGGCCTCCTCCACCGATCCCTCCCGCATTGGCCAAGGCAAACCTCCTCAGCTAAAATATGATAAATTTAAAACCAATATTACAGTGTTGCACTTACATTGGGCTACTCAGCATTTTTTTTTAACCTAAAAGGATAATTTATTAACGTATTTTCAGCTGCCCACCTGGTCAAGAAGAGAGGTGGAATTGAAATCCCTCTGCAGGGCAGTCAGAAGCAGAAGTACGTTATTTATACTCTCTGGGTTTGTGAGATTACACAACTGATTGGACACCAGGTCTCGCGCAGCATCCGACGTAAAATTGAAGATCTGAGAAATCTGGTCCTGGTCACAGATGAGGTTGCGGAACTGGGCCTGTATAAGTGTCAGGTTTGTTGAGGGATTGATTCCCGTTCCATTCAGATCGGGGATTTTACAAACACCTACATCTTCTAAAATGTCATTCACAACTGTTTCATTCAACTGAAAATGCAAAAAATGTGCATGTGATACAACATGTACATATACACTGACCAAAGATATCATGTTCTAAGCAAAGGCTTTAAATGCTTCTATGTGTTACATTATCAATAACATTACTACATTGATTACTTTTGAATTAGACAGTTTATATTCATAAAAAATATGTAGCATTAAAGACATGTCAAAAATAAGAAGTAGATATTCGTTACCAGATTAAGGTTGATGCTGGTTCCTAGGAGATCAATGATGGCCTGTCTCGTGTCATTGTCCTGGAAACTGGAGATGATCTGTTGGGGATTTACGACCACATTCCCTATGGTAAAATTCCCTACACAATACAAAATACCAGTAAATATTGTATAAATAAAATACCCATTATTGAAATTAATTAAATAATTGTTAACCACATATTGGCATCATGTTTTTTTTTAAAATCTTAACCCTGATAGCAAAGCAAATCCCCCTATGCTTCCAAATTTATTGTTTGACACTGTATAATCACAATGATAAGACATTGATTCAAAATTATCAAAATGAACAACAAAATACAAGCACTACAGCGAAAACTGTCTCATTCTACACCTGTGCAATCCGTTTCAATGTGAATTCTGGCCTTATTTTCATTCCCATTTTACATAAACCATTCTTTTACACTGTAATCCAACACCCTGTCTATTCCAACACAAAATTTATCTCTCAGTGCATGACAGTTTAGACAGGTTTTACTGTAGTGGCACTCAAAATTTGTTAAACCACATTTTTAAAGAATGAAGAGTTAAAGTTAGATAATAAATCACTAAAAATAAGTGCAGGGAAAACTAGGCTTAGCAAGCTCTCCAAACTCATGGGAGCAGGCTCGAACAGGCTTAATCAGCTGCCAAATTCCATTCAACGTATATTTTGTTTTTCAGTGTATAGACATGCATACTGAAGAAGATATGGTTTAATGAAACTTCAGCTAAGGATATGGGAATCTATGTTTCAAGCATGACGATGGAAATCACTTATACCTGAAGAATTTCCACTGCGTATGTTGTCTAAGACTCGTGAATAAAACCCAAAATCTTGCAAGATATGACTCAGAGTTATGATGGAATTATCTTCTAGCACTCTTGATATATCTTTTATTACTTTAGTTAATCTGTAAAAGAGGAAGAAAATTGTTAAGTCATATCCAGGTTAAATATAAGACAAATCTGATATTATTCCATTCTAGTGAAGATGACAAAAAAAACGGAAATGGTCTTGAGCTTACGTTGACTGATCAAAACTTCCTATTGTCCCAGGGTTCTCATCCTCAGTCACTTTAGCATGGCACGGATTGTTGAAGTTACACAGGAAAGACTGTACAAAGGGCAGGGCACCAGCACTGGGCATGGCGTTTCCATCATAGTGACCTATATAACAATATAACCTATGTTTAACAAGATAACCTATGTATAACAATATAACCTGTGTATAACAATATAACCTGTGTATAACAATATAACCTATGTATAACAATATAACCTATGTTTAACAATATAACCTATGTATAACAATATAACCTATGTTTAACAATATAACCTATGTATAACAATATAACCTGTGTTTAACAATATAACCCGTGTATAACAATATAACCTGTGTATAACAATATAACCTATGTATAACAATATAACCTGTGTATAACAATATAACCTATGTATAACAATATAACCTGTGTATAACAATATAACCTATAAATAACAATATAACCTATAAATAACAATATAACCTATGTATAACAATATAACCTGTGTATAACAATATAACCTGTGTATAACAATATAACCTGTGTATAACAATATAACCTATATACAACAATCACACATTTTGAAACACTGTAATCCAATGGCAAGTAACAACATTGTCAAAAGTAGTCACTTATTTTTATTCCTAAGGCCAAATAAAAAAATATATGTGGTTCCGGTTACCCGACCGTCCCTATTTTATACCCCCTACCCTAAACTTTTTTTTGGCAATTTTCATATATTTTCCGGAATTTTCCCCGATTTCCATCAATTTTTAGTTTCAGCAATGACGGCCTCCTTGCAAAACATAGTGCAAGTGTTTAATAGTGTTAAATCCAAAGCAAGCTAGCATGTAGGTGTCCCCTACCAATATTGACTAGTATATTATCACACCACATCTAAATGCCACTTTCAAAGCAGTGATAGGTATTATTTAGAAAAATTAAGAAAATTATTTTGTTTAAAAAAAAAAAAAAAATCCCTACCTACCTACCCTAATTTTTTTGGAGGTGTAACCGGAACCACACATATTTTTTTTGTTTGGCCTAAGGATTAAATAATTAAGTTTCATCATAGCAATATTAAAAATTACTCTATAAGGCCCTAAGAGAGTTGAATTCCAAAGAAATTCAAAAATTATTACAATTGTAACAGGCAGGGCTAGATTATAACTTGCCCCAAAATTGTGCCTTTTGACACTAGTGTATATATATGTACTTACACTCTGTGTAGGGTATCTTAAGGTTTGGCCTGGTTCTTACAATCACTAAAATGATGAATAATGCCAAAGGGAAGACAATCTCAGCTACCAGTCGGAACTACAAAATACAAAAAACGTAAAATATCTCAACGGGAAGACAGTCACAGCTACCTGTCGGAACTACAAAAAACATAAAATATCTCAACGGGAAGACAGTCTCAGCTACCTGTCGGAACTACAAAAAACATAAAATATCTCAACGGGAAGACAGTCTCAGCTACCTGTCGGAACTACAAAAAACATAAAATATCTCAACGGGAAGACAGTCTCAGCTACCTGTCGGAACTACAAAAAACATAAAATATCTCAACGGGAAGACAGTCTCAGCTACCTGTCAGAACTACAAAAAACATAAAATATCTCAACGGGAAGACAGTCTCAGCTACCTGTCGGAACTACAAAAAACATAAAATATCTCAACGAGAAGACAATCTCAGCTACTAGCCGGAACTACAAAAACAATCATATTTCATCACATATAGAATAAAATAGCAAGATTGACAATGTGTGGGTTAAGGGGAAAATTGTTCATTTTTTACCTTTTGTCTCCTTCTTAGAGTAAAATTTTTCCATGACAGAAGCCACAGCTGGCTGAAGAAACCCATGTCTTACTACTGGTCAGTTCACAGGAAATTATTTGTTCAAGGTATAGTCACAATTGACATGTTATACACTCTCATCATCTGAAGGAAAAAAAATGTGGTATACAGTAATGAATGAAAGCATAGCAAGTTCTCTGAATCACATGTAATACAATGTACTCCATAATCTTGTGTTAGACAACCTGACAGTTATATGAATAAGGAAATTGGAAGTAATTTGCTGCTAGTTAATTAGAAAGAATTTTCATATTAAACAGAATTTGATTCAGAGAAAGAGGCTCCATAAGAAATGGGTACATTTATTCTAATATTCCACTTTGACTAATAAAGGGCATGGACTTTCGTACTTGCTGTGCATTCAAGTGCTACATTATTTATTATTTAAGTTTTTACGTCACATGTTGAACAAAATTTAACCTATACCTGAAGCTTCTGAAGAGGTGTGAAAATGTACCGATACAATTTAATGAAATCCTAGTTTCTGAACTGCATGAACACAGAATCAATAACAAGGAAACTGAATCACTATTGATGTAGACATGCAGTGTCCGAGTCATCAGGTACAATTAACAATCAGTTGTCTCAATTTAAGTACTTGGCCAAAGGCAATACATGTGCAAACAACCTTTCAGAATTCATCTTAATTTCACATCTTTTTAGAAAGCTACAGAACTTTTTTTTTCTAGGAGACTTATCAACACAGATTATTGATCACTCTTGCTCAATATTTAATTATGTCCATAAAATTATAAATCATGAATAAAGAATACACGATGTGTACAATGGCTTTAGGGAGTAGATCAATTAGTTTTTAACACAGCTTGTAGAGGATTTAAAAAGAATTCACTTGTCAATACATACACTACCTCCTCTGAAATAAAATATGAACTTAAAACATTGATATCTTCTAGTATACTCTTTGTTTATTGTCTGCATGCATTTCATATTACACCAGAATAAATTTTTGGCATTTAATTTTCTACAATTGTTGTTTACTCTTTAAATATAGACCTAAATGTATGACCGTTTATAAAGTTTAACAGTCTAGAGTTGACATAAAAGCTTTATTTATTGGCAATCATGGATTAATTTTAATTCTGCCTGGGTAAATCTTACCATGTTTGGATAAATTTATTCACCTCAAAGCCTTGTTTTGCGAAAGTAAAATTAAAATAATCAGCCAGACATTTGCTCCGTTGATTTTTCTGCTTTACACTTCCATATATATCAGTATGCAATAATAAGTACCTAGTTGTCATACAAGTCAGTTAATTGTTGTACCAAAACAGGAAAAGTGTGATGTCTACTTCCTTCCAATCTTTCAATCATTTACTTCTTAAAAAGTGTATTTCACATTTCCCTACATTTATTTTCTGTCTGAATTTGTATTTTTCTCCATGAAACACTTAAATTAGTTACTAACCAATACAATCATTATCCACATTTTTGCAATTGTAATAAAATTATTTTCAAGCATGAACTTTAGCACATGTACACTTTTGAGATTTTCTTTTTTATTACTGTGAATTTGATTTAGGGTAGGTAAACGCAAGGCATAAACACAGTATATTGGTCATAAAATTGTCACAGCTAAAAGTTACACTTTTCAAACACTTAGACTTGATCATTCTCACTATTATCTACCCAAGCAGTGAAATGTTTGTTCATTCCAATGCCTTCTCAGTTGATGTCAAAGAAAATACAAGCCTAACGGAATTTTTTTTTAGCTCAGCCTGACTTTTGAGCGAATTATAACTTAATCACATAGACATTGAATCTTATATACACATCTTTTTATAATGTTCAAATTGTGACAATTTGAACATTATAAAAAGATGTGTATATAAGATTCAATATATAAAATCAAGCTTGAAATTTGGAATTCTTGGGCAAAATCGTGAAATTTGGAATTCTTGAAAAATATGAAAAGCTGTACTATTTTACAAGCCCATGTAATTTGCTCTTGATAACTTTCCTTGAGATCGACAGCAGTGTTCTTTTCTCAGGCTGGTATTCTCTCTCTGATATTAATACCAACAACATCACTGGATGCAAATGGTTCTCCTTATGTTAATCAATAATAGCCCTTATTTGTAAATATGATATGATTATTCCATTATTTAAGAGTACAATAATTAAACCACATGCCATGAAATTAAATGGAAACTAAATCATTTTCTTGAATGATACGGGTATATTACAAAGCTCACTTCGATAAAAACAGTCATAAACTCTAATACCAAATAAATGATCAATTTATCTGACACATCTCAATCTAGACTTTTATTACCTCAGATGCACAAATTTAAAACCATAAAACTTTGAACCAAATAGTCCTAACAGTTACTCCAGAAACAAAATATTCCCATGGCTGTCACCAGAATTCTGGAAAGGGGAGGGGGTGCAGAAAAGGGTCTGGGAGAGGGGAAGATGAGGTCCTCCTCCTCTGAGCCAGAAATATTTCATAAATTGGCACCATTTTGGTGAGTTCTGGTGCATTCTTAAAGTCATTCTTTTAAATATAAAATAAACAAAATCTAGCATCATAACTTTCAACATCAAAGTAATGTTCAAGAATTTTTTTTGTTTCAAAAATGAAATGAGCTTTTGTTTATAAAGGAGGGTACAACTGTGATCCCCCCACATATTCTGACAGCCTTGATTCCATCTGCATGGTTACTCATTGTGAAAATAAAGGCTGCATGTAAACAAGAGAATATTCTTATATTCCTTACTTGCATCATTCATGGCTTAAAGTTTCATTGGATAGAACCTGCTCTTAAAATTTAAACCTGTTCATTTATCTGAAATATACAGGAATGTTAATGAGAGACTTGAAGAAATCTGCTTGCATCTATCCAATGACTCTACGAGTACTTTCGGAGAAATGATTTGCTTAACTTGTCACTCATTCTGAAAACAGAGTCAGAATAAGCATCCAAAACAATGTCTGGTAGTATGCTTCTGTGCAAGTATTGAATTAAAGACTTATGGTTACCTTTGGAAAAAATGAAATGCTCTAAATCATTCAACCTGGGATTCAATGCACACAAGTTCTACAGATTGTATACATATGTAATAAATTAACCAAAAACATACATCAAATCTTCAAGTGTAGAGTAAATCTGCAAAGTACTAGTTAGGAAATATTATTAATGCAATTTTAATGTAAAATATGTCAATCTTTTGACAATATGATACAAAACATTCATAAAAAATTAAATACTGGTAAATCGATTTTGCTTCCGAAGGACACAGATTGTTCTGTTTCCTGACCCTTGGTAAAGTGTATAAAAAGTGCAGAGTACGTGCTTGGCTGGTTTCCAACAAATGTGCACTCTATCTATATGGGCAATCTGTACAAAATCAATAAAAGGGCTGGACCAAAAATGGGTCTTTCAGATCTTTTTAATTTGGGAAAAAAAAAGAAATGCGCGATCAAAATATTTTAAATTTTAATATTCCTACTAAATAAACAATGTTATAAAGATGCATATTGTGCAATCACCAAAAAAATATCTGTTAACTTTCCAGTTTTTTGGTTAAAAAAAAAAAAATGCTTAAAATCAAACTACAACCATTTGTTGTTTATCATGGTGATTTCTAATTTACTATTATTTATACATGTATTTATAAAAAACACAAATAATGTTCCAGTTATCATTATTTTGACAATACTGATGATCACCAATTTTTCGCAACATTATTTTTGCAAGATAGTTGTTTGGTATTTATAAGCTATTTTAACGGCACGCTTCTGCTGGGCATGCGGAGCAAATAAAGTCTGCGATAATACTCCAGAGGAGGTTTGCAGTTACTTGGAAGAAGAAGAAGAAGCAACAAATAATTTCCACAAACCTTGATTATTGTTCTATATAATAAAATTAAATGCAAGAATGAAATTTACACTCGCAGATATGATTATGCGACAGGGTTGGCCGGGAAATACCAGTGGTGGGAATTACCAGTGTTAAATACCGGTATTTCCCGTCTGGGGAAATACTACAAATTTTGTCTAAACTGGGAAATATTGGGAAATACTGGGAAATATAAAGTTAAAGATTTTTATTTCTTTAATTCATTCAATCTTATACAAAATTCAAAAATAAAATTAACATAAAAACAGAAGATGAATAATATTGAATATGTCTCAAATTGCAATTTAACATATTCAGAATGTATCACTACTCCAGGTCCCATACCCATAAGCATTCTGAAACATTTCCCTGGCTATGTGAAACTGAAGTTTTCCAAATCAAGTTTCTTTTCAGTTTTGTAAAATTATTAAGGTTATTAATTATAAATCCAAGAACAAAACAAACTCATTTTAATCCTTCTATAAACACTGGAGTTATTACAAACAATCATGTTGTTTTAACAAATTGCTCTGGACAGTTTTGTGCTCCTGTTTTGAGAGATAATTACCTTGGGTAGAATTGAAAGGCTTCTTCTTAGGTTTGATATTATTATCAATTTCTGTACTGTATCTGTTTGTATCATATTGTACATGTACAGACTGATAAGCTCAAAAGCTTAAAATAACAATAATGAAGAAAGAAAGATATTTTTACCATACTCTACATTTAAGAATTTTCTTAGATCCTTTTTTAGTTACTTAAAAAACCAATTGGGATCTTTGGGTTCATTTCATGGACCTTTATAGACTCCAGCTGACTAAAGCATCAAACAAATGACACTCATGACTGGTATATGAATATACCGTTTTATAATTATATAAATGAATTACTTGGAAATTTTTTTAAATCAGGGACAGTGATACCAGGTAGATATCTTAGCCAATAAGATGTCAATATGAATGAAATATGTAGCTATTTCTTATTTCCCAGTATTTCCCGGGAAATACCAGTAATTCCCGGTAATTACCAGTATTTCCCACCGTCCTGGGAAATATGAGTATTTCCCAGTTTTTTGCCAACCCTGTTATGCGAAAATATCAAAATAAAATTCTTGCAAATAAAAAGTGATTAAATTACAGTACATGGAAAATTGCCCTAATTAAACATGTCTTCATTATAATAAAGGCAGTGTGATATTCAGAAGTTATGAATTTACATTATTATGATCCTGCTGATATTGCTTCAAAGTCTGTCCATATTGATATTTCTCATATAAACTTTTCACACTATAATCTTCTTCTTCGGCTAGTGAATTTCAACCAAACATCTTTAGGTCTTGAACGGGACTCAACTTAAATTTGTTAAAATGAAGGGTCATTTTGTCAAGGATATAGAGAAAAATATGGTAACAGAAAAAACATGTTTTTTGCTGCAATAATTGTAGATATGTAAAATTGAAAAAAACAATTAAAATACATAAATCAGATTATGAATGCACCTCTTTTTTTCATGCAAGCCAGACTACAAAATGTACTCATGAATTATCAACCCTATTTAACTTTCTACGGTAAATGTTGTTTTGCTTATAAACATGATAAAAACCAGCATGAACAAATGAAGGAATAGAAATTAATAGATAAGTACTGCGACAACAGTGTGTATCAAAGAATCTAATAAACAAAACTTAATCTGCATAAAATGGGAAACAATGTTACTTCAAACTTATCATAAAACATTATGAATAACATTGAAAATGCACATGTCATTGTTGTTATCGTCTGATCATTTGGCGCTAGCCCTAGGATGCATATTGTACAATGACAACACAATCGCTAAAAATAAAAATACTTTCAAAAATTACAATTTTATACCAGGGAAATACACGTCTCTAAAAGTCTAACTGTTATATACTCACGCATTTAAGTCCCTCTTCTTTTTGGATTGTTACACAATAGCAAAATGATCACGTTTCAGTCAACGTTCTGTTTTTTCAACCTAACTTCTCATTGGTGAACGATGTAAATACCCGTTTGACTAGTTCCCAATGAACGTGACCAGATAATATGGATAGTCTAATAAGAGGAAATAGTCCTTCAGACCAAGAGTAATTCATTTAATTCAAAATTCATTTTGTCTAAAATCATTAAAATGTTTTTAAAAAAATATTTTTGACCATAATAAAATCAAATATTACTTTGAATAATTCATCAATCTGATTCAGATCAGTGAGTATGATTTACAGCTTAATCATACACCTGATAAAAATAAGTGTTGATAACTTTAATTACAACAGCCACAGCCCCCCCCCCCCCAATTTTAAACTACCTGACCTTAAATATTTGAATTCAAGGTAACAGAAAGGGAGAAATGTGACAGACCTATGAGGTTTATATATATGTTTTAGAAAGTAATTTTTTAAATATTTATTTTCCAGATATCAAAAAATGATTATTTGACTTAAAAACCAAGCAGAATCTATATATATATATATAAAAAAATATTTTCTAAAAAGATTACTTATTTTAGGAAATATTCGTTTTTTGTTATTTTCTGATCTCAAAAAGCAATATTTTCTAAAAAGATTACTTATTTTAGGAAATATTCATTTTTTGTTATTTTCTGATCTCAAAAAGCATATTTTTGATATAACTCTTCAGAAAATGGTTTGTTAATTTTTTAATCAAATAAAAAATCTGATCATATTAGAAAATATTCAATCATATCAGGGACCTAATATACTAGTGTATATTATTACTAGTATATAGGTCCCTGGTCATATTTATACTGATATAAACGTTTTTAATATTGTAGAATCAATTATTCATCTAAAAAAATAGAATTTTTCATATATTTTGATATCAGAAAACACCTCAAAAATACTTTAAAAACCTACCATATGTACTAGTCTAGACAAGAATTCAAACCACATCCCCTGAACCCTAGGCAAACATTAATTGCTTTGGTCTCTGCTGAATAAATCTACCTGAAATTGTACTGATCATTCCTCTAGCTCCCTAAATGTATTGTCCTCAAAGGCACCCATACTTTTCCCCTGTAGGATATGTGGGTCTTAAAGCTACAAACTTAATTAGACTCATAACTTAGTTCTCAGGCCTCTCATAATTAAGGTTAAGAGCTGAATGTAATAAAAAGGAAGAAATTGTAGAAGACCATGCAGACAATCAGTAAATGTTTAAAAGGAAGGGAGAAAATGCAACGGATTTGAACCTGGAACCCAGGAACATTAGACATGTGTTTTACTAACCATGCACATTTTTAAGCCACAGTGGGCAAACAATCTGCTCAATTACCACATGCCTCCTCCTTTCAATGTCCTCACTCAAGAAAACATATCAACCAAGATGCACAATACAGGGCTTTTATTTATCCAAATGGGATCAGAAACAGTTTTATGCTGGATCTAGATTAATATATAATATTTTAGTTAAATGTAACCTGCGCATGAAGGTTTCAGAGAAATACCATTGGCACTTTGAAAAAACAAATTTGTAATTGTATTCTGGTAAGCCTACATTATGCACAAATTATTATATTATATATATTTTTACTTATAATATTTTGATTCATGTAAAATAGTAAATACTCATTTGTTTGAAATTTTTGTTTGTTTAATTTTTATTCCCTCCCTCATAGGTTCTTAAATTTTTTTTTAAACGTAGAATTAATTTCAGCAAGCCTTTAAAAAAACAACAAAAAGCAAACAAGAAAGAAAGAAATATGAAAGTAAACATTAGTTTATTTGTCTTTACTCTTTAATAGAGTACTAACAGCAAAGTGAAATAATTCTTTATTAGCATTTTTAAGTTTTAAAAGATCTGAAGAATCATTAGCCATCTGTATTCTTCTATTCACTTCCTGGGACGAAATGTCATCTGTATCCATAATCTACATTAAAAGAAAGAGAGAGAGAAAAGATTTGTTTAATTTTGAAATGCAAAATCATACAGTTTTCCACTATCAGGTATTTATCATCTCTAGTGAGCTATGGAGTAAGCTCCCTTTCTGGTCACATTTTTTTTTTTATCCATATAGGGTTTAATAAGAAAAAAAACAAAGATTTTCTGAGATGCAAGAAACTTCTATATCTTATGCACTTGAAGAATTTATTGAGAAATTATATCAAATAAGTATTCCAATAATTATTCCCCCAAAGCAAAACTGGACTGCCTCAAAGGAGACTTTTGTGTTAGAGAATAAGTACAATGTAAGTGAATCATGTGAATCATTACCTCAGGTTCCTTTGATCTGTATTTAAGATCCAAAAGAATTTCTGAGTTGGGTCTTAAAATATCTTCTTCTTCCTGTAAAAAGATTACCCTCAGAATAATATATCAAACCATATCCCAAAATACCATTCAATACTAACAATGATATGTGATATCTTAGTAAACTATCATTAATAAATTATTAACAAAACAAGAGGCCCATGGGCCACAATGCTTACCTTTGTTGCTTTGGCCAAGCAGATTTAAAAAAAAAATTCCTTCTTTAATTTCATATATGTTTTCATTTTTGATCTCTATGTTGTGGAACAAAATTTAGACCTAAAGGAGTTACTATTTATTCAAAGTTAAATCAACCCAACACTGGGATCTGCTTCAGTATCAATACAATCAACATGGTCCTGCTGGTTTGGAGAAGATTTTTTTCCAGTACTCATGCGTATGTGTAAGGATCTATGATTTCCCCTCAACTCTAACCTCAGGGAATATAATTAAAACTTCACAAGCTTGTGCATTTGTACAGCCAAAGAGTGCCAATATTCATCAATATAAATTCAATAATCCTATAATATAGCACATTCAAGAAGAGCTAAATCAAATCTATGCTAACTTGTTAAAAAATCAATATCTGTCAAATATTGTGCATGATAAACATAATACATTTACAGAATTCTTAATAATATCCTCTTGAAAGAGGGCATGACCCCTGGTTTGAAGAAAAAAAAAAACTTGAATTCCTTTCATCTATTGATGCTTTGTGTCAAATTTGATTGAAACTGGCAAAGTGGTTCTAGAGAAGAAGTTGAAAAGTGAAAGGTTTACAGAGGACAGATGACACACAACAGACGACAGGCGGATGCTGGACACTCCTCGATCAGAAAAGCTAACTTGAATGCTTAGGTGAGCTAAAAAGTTTTAATTCAATACTTTTAATTACTGGGACCCTTCAAATTTGTTATAAAAGATGTAAATTTTGTTATTCTTACCCTTTATGGAACATAAAATCAACTTGCTTATTCCATAAATTCATTATATCTGAGTTTATTGTTACAACCATATATTTTCACAAAGAATTGTTAAAAATGTTGCCAGGGAAGCCCCTAAAAACTTATAACTGTGAATGCATTCACTAAATGTTTATCCATGTTCATACAAATTACGTTTTACTATTATTTTACTATTTCAAAAAAATGCATTTAATAATCAAAATTATCAATATCTTTTATTAATTCATAACATAAAAAGTACAAATCAATAATCAATTTATAATCCAACATACAAGAATTGAACTTCCCGAAACTTCAGTCTTACCTCTTGTTCAGTGTTATTGAGGTGGACATTCAATGTGACCTCGCTATTCTCTTCCTGGGCATCAGAATGGAACACTCTTTGGAACGGCCGGAGGGGAAGCGTACACTTCATGTCCGGGTTTACAATTCCAGGAGGGACCATGGTTAGTAACGTGTTTGTCACTGGACCTGTTTGCAAATCATATATCCAAGTACACTATACATTCAGATGAAAGTTACATAAAGGTGTACATGATGAATACTTATTGCGGAAAACCCTGAAAAATTGAAAAGGTCGTAATTCCGTCAAAAATCACTGAAGTGGAACGAAATGCAAACTTGATGATCTGTAACTCATCAAGATACACTCACATACCAAAAATCAGCTCAATATCTGCAAGCGTTTAGAAAAAAAAGTGCGGAAAACCTAGTGGGACAGACAGACAGAGGGACAAACAGACAGACAGACAGACGGACAGCTAGACAGACAGACGGACATACTCAGAGGAAACCTATAGTCCTTTCCGGTTTCACCGGTACGGGACTAATAAGGAATCAAAATTTAGTAAATATGTATATAAAACTATGCATGAGTATATCATGAAATTGAAACTGCTTAAAAAGCTGAATGAAAAATGTTCTTGTTACCTTTGTGTTCTATTGTTCTCAGACACTGTCCACTAAATATATCCCAGATTTTGACTTTGTGGTCATGTGAACCAGACACCAGCTGACATCCATCCATTGTTATACACAGACAATCCACTCGTTTTCTAGCACAACAACAATATACAGTTACAACTGAACTTGTGTTAAAAACAATTTCAAAATCGTAGGTCCTAAAATAAAAAAAGCAAAAAAAGTAAAACCAAGATTGATGCTGAGTGACAATTCATTGAGGTTTTTAAATTGCCAGGCATTAATAATAATGCTTTGATCACTTGACAGTCTGAATAGGGGTTAAAAGCTGAAATACTTTGAGAATGTCCAAGCTATCTGTTTTAATTATTAAAAACAAGAGTATTGTATTATTATTATAGCATTCTAAAAATAAATCACGAAGTGAAAATAGAATTAACATTGACCTTCACTTCTTATTTATAAATTCTTGACGTTTTTTTCTGAAAAAAAGAAGGAATTCAATATTTAATAGCACAGAAACAAGTATAAACATTCATTTATTTTCTCCTTAATTATGATTTTTGACACTCTGGAAGGTATTTTATGAGATTGGGTACAGATATCATATGTACATATTAAATGTGTTCTATTTCATTGCAGAAGTTTAAAATCTTAATTTAATTAATTATCTGCCAATAACATGACCAATATGATAAAACAAGCAAAAAAGATATTGGCTTTAAATTGTAAGTTTAATACTAGTACTAATATGTTACTTATAACCTACAAATACTGTATCCATATTTTATACATTTGCCAAAAACAGACCCAATCACATGTAGCACATGTACTGCACTGAATAATGTGAGACACCAGCTAGTTTATAAGAATTATGGTTCTGTTTTTTAAAATAGGAAATAAGAATAGAAAATGATTTAAAAAGAACAACAAAGGATTTTTTAAATTCTTTTTTTTATATGTTAATTTATATACTAACTATAGATTAGGCCTAATGTGTGTTTATATATATATCTTTCAAATCAATAAGGTTAAATAAATTAATATTTGAAAGAGTTCATTATTATAAGGGTGAAGTAATGAGATACACCTATGTAACAAAAGCTCGCGACAAAAGGTACGTGGCGAAAAAGTGCCCTCCTCTTGCACCCTTCCATTTTCAGATCCTAGCTGGAACACTGATTATGATACATAAATTGTGAAACTTTCATGTGTTTTAGAATTAGATAATCTATCTCTTTTGTACATTTTTTTTTGTTGGAGGCTACTTACTCATGACCATCAAATCTCTGACAAGTTTTGTCGTCTCTGTTTTCAGTGATGTGTCGCTCTCTTCTCACTGGCTGTAAAAAATATTTTTTGCTGTCAATTTTTTTTTTTGAAAATAAAATTGTTGGCACTGTATAAAAAATAATACAAATCCATTATGTAATGTTCAATTTATACTCATTTATTAATAAAATTATCATATTTCCATATGAAAAAACTGATGTAATTAGGTTTTAGGAAATTTCTTTACCCTATAAAGTAGAATAATTACATATTATCTACTGCTTATGAAACATACTTTGCAAATGCACAAAACTTACTTTTTCAAATAAATTGACAGCATATATGGAACCTGTGCTGCTCCCAGCAAATAACCTGAACTCTGCTGGATCCAATGCAACAGAACACATGCCCACCTCGAACACAAAAGTACAAAGAACCTCTCCACTGTTGACATCATACAGTCTACAAGTCTGATCAAGGGAGGTGGAGACAACTCTAGCAAGGTGTCCTCCCACCCCTACATGTAGGTCTGTGACTGGGAGAGAGTGACTAGACCACACCTGATCAGGTGACACAGGGGCTCTGCTTTCTGATTGTTCACAAAGGGCTCTGAAAGATTCAGAAGAGAGATTCACATACATGTGTCAGCAGAAAAGTTAATTCAATTAAGTAAGAAATTGTGAATGAGCAGTACTTGAAGTTTTACTACATAACACAGATAAGAATTGATCTCTGTTTAACTTTCATTGTAAAGCTTAAATTCTACACCTATGACCTAATTTATTTTCACAAAACAGCCCTGTTAAACTTGCTAGAATTTTGTACACTGTTATATTTATAAAGAAACAGTTCATTGGTATTGCTCTGATGTGCTGTGAATCTATATTAAGTGACCTTACTTTCCCAGTGACCACACGATGACAAGACTGTCTTCTCCACCAGATACAATTATACCAGAGGAACTCTTTAAACATGTAATGGTCTGATAATGTCTACTTAATACACTAAGTAGGCGTCCTGTACAGGTCTGGGGAAAAAAAATCTGTTTTCAAAACTCTAACAATTATATATATGTGTAACTATTGTCATATGTTTGTACATATGTGTGTAAATGATATACAATAAAAGAACAAATTTCATGAACTGTTTCACAACATAAAATTTTTCAGATGCTCTTAGAAATCTCTAAATGGGCACAAACATTCACCTAAAACATTTGCAGAATTTTAATATTTATAAGAACATTAATATGTCAAAGAGTCTAAATTCATTAACAACTACTTTTTACCTGCCAAATATAGATTTTCTCTGCTATGGCAGCGACACAGTATGCCCCATCCTCTGTGACAGCCACAGCCGATACTGTTCCCGGACAAACCATCTTGGTACATGTGTTGTCCTGTTTAATATTATAGAAAAGAAGATCATTCAACTGTTATTTCAGCTTTAGAATTGGCAGTAAATAAGTTTTTAGCATTTGTAGTAAGTTGAAAATCTAAGAAAGTGATTATATTGTAGTAGGAGGGGAGAAAATGAATGACTGGACTGGGCACATGCACCCTGCATCACTAGTCAGGTGTGCATCAATTGCTCTACCAACTGAGCTAGCCAGGCTGATATCCACAGCCCAAACCATTACATGTACAATATAATTTTACAAAGGGTATACATGAATGCACCTTAAATATTTAAAACAACTAATGTAAATCAAAAGAGGTCAACAATTAGGATGGTAGCAATAATGAAGACCTTCTTCAATTATCTTTTCAAGTAATACAGTGCTGTTATTCTAATTTTTTTGAAAGAGGCTGAAAAATTTAACAGTAAACTTTATTAACTGATACCCTTTTATGAAGTGGCCATAATGTTAACACAGGTTTTGTGGGAGATGCACTGATGAGAAATTGTTGTCCTAATACAGCCAAGCCATGCGGGGCACTTGTCCCTCCTTTATATGTGACTACACTGGTTCCTGACTCAACATCCCAGACACAGACATTCCACAGCTGTCCTGTTGTTTCACTTGTCAATAAAACCTAGGAAAATGAATTATATAATGATACTTATTTTCATTAAAGTAGTAAATATGTACATGCATTACTTTTAATTTAGCAAGAAATACAATGTTTCACGCACAGGTAATGGACAGTTTAAATATTTTCTTTATAATTAATTCTATGTTTTAATAATATCAACCAAAAAAATGAAATAAGCCTAAAACAGAGATCTGTATAGTATTTTTTTCATCATAATGAAAATGTTTAGAACGTCAACATGGTCAAGAATCAGCCCTGTGGTTTCACATCACTAAAATAACAAAGTTTACGTTTATATTCATTGATGTGACAGGAAAAATAAAAATCTGATCATTGAATACCTCTTTGGATGTCATCATGTCACACACGTGCTTCTGTTAGGCTTGTTTTGAAAAGAAAAGTGAAAGTCGGTCTTACTTTCACTTTGATAAGGTTTCAACTAATCACATGAAAAACCGTTTAAAGGGCTAAATCTAAATAAATTTGCAATACTAGCTATGGCACACCAAATTCACAAAAATTAGATAAACATAGTTTAACAGTTGATAAACTAGGTTTGTAGATTGTAAACTATAGTTTACAAACCGTTAACTATAGTTAACGATTCGTTAACTATAGTTTTCATCTGTAAAACTATATTTAACGGTTGTAAAGTGTAGTTTACGAATGCTAATCTAAGTTTATCTGTCTGTAAATAAACGTTAACAATAAATTTTACTGATAAATATAGAGTCTCATTTGTAAACTATAATTTACATTCATTAACCATAGTTAAGAGTTGTTAATCATAGTTTCATAAATCGTGAAACTAATATTTATCAGATAAACTATGTTTTACATTCGATAATTATAGATTTCGGTTGTAAACCATAGTTAACTGTCATTGATACTCATAAACTGTATTTAACAGATGTAAACTATACTTACGATTGTAAACTATAGTTTCGAGAGATAAACTACGATTCACGTTTGCCAATCATAGTTTATCATCATAAACTATAATTCACACTCGTTAACTATAGTTAAGAGTTGTTAAATATAGTTTATGAATCTAAACACCTATTAACGATAGTTTCAATTCAAAATGTCGCGGCACCAATCGCTAGAGGAAATACTGAATGTATGTCATTGTCGTAAGTTCTATATAAAAACGAAACATATAAACAGAATTACTTGAATAATTTCTCTTCTTAATAATCTTAAATTTATAAGTCAAGCTTTCAGCAACTCTTGATACCAGCAATGCTCAGTCATTTTTGTTTGATCAGCGCAAAAGATTGGAAAGACGGCAAGGATAAATGTCAGTGATTTATTCCGTTGCTGATGAAGAAAATTTTTTATTACAAACTGTCAAAATGCATTTCCCCCTATCTTTCTCTTTTAAATAAAACATCAATTTTAATCAATAATTTCTTGTCATTTTCTTTTTCTTTTTTTTTTTTAATTTAAAACTAGATTTGCTTTAAAATGAACGAACATTTACTTTTTATGTCAACAAAAAAAATATATATATAACAACCAATGAAAAAAATCGTTGTATAGCCAAATCTTATCATGCTGTATCTAGAATTATATATCTATAATTTACGGACAATACTATTGTTAACTATAGTTTTGATCGTAAAGTATACTTTAGAGCCGTGAAATATAGTTTTACAGAAAACTATGCCTCTCCGACACAAAATCATGGATTCTGGCTTTAAACTGCATTTCTCAACTGTAAAACTATATTTATCACAATTTTGTGAATTTGGCGCCTTAAATATCCCTGTACACACAGGCACTTGGGGTCTGGACCCCCCCCCCCTTTTCCATTTTTTTTTTTTAAATATGGAGTCGATTCACCTTTTTCCTATTTTTGTATTCTAATATGCACTATATGTTATCAATAATGTAACTCTTTTGTCTCTATATGCTGTTTTTAAATATACCGTTTTCGACTGATACATAAAAAGAGAGAAGGCTTGCAACTCTTTTCTCATCGTCTGCCTCACCTCGCTTAAACTTCGCCTGATTATTTATCGAAAGAATAAGAAAACATGGAATATGCATACATCAATAAATTCGTTATACATTCTTCTTTCTTTTCATATTTCCATTTAATTTTTATGTGCCCCCGATTTGTAAATATTTCGATTAAATCATCCGCATCTAGGGTAAATTTTGTTGATGTGCACCAGCTGGGACGGAAGTGCAATAACGGTAACTCTAACTTTATAAATGTTCTGCATTAAAAAAAAATTCCAGGCTTTGTAATAACAATATTGTGGAATTTGGTTGTCTAGGTCGTCTATTTAAAGTATAATCTTCATCCATTAAAATTTTTCTAGTTAAAGTTATCTTGTTATTCACAGAACTTACCGTTACATGTTATATGAAGAGAAAATTCGGGATGTTTTCCTTCTCGCATTTAATGTTCCGAATTACATTACAGAACAGAACAGAACAGAACATTTATTTTCTAATTTAGAGCCCATAACAGACAAGTATGAAATTATTACAATAATAAAGAAAAGATATGCCAATGGATAGTATAACAACTTGTAAATGACATTACTCATTTCAACAATAATATTGTACTATTTCAGTTAAAGGGAATACTATATATAAAACTGTATGACTACTACATGTTATCATTTATGAATTTGCCCACAGAATTAAGAGTTTCTTTGTCTTCAGTATTGAGTAACCAAAAAAGTTTTTGTTTTGTTTCATTACATGTAATGATGATACCCGAAAATACCGGGCACTTCCGTCCCAGCTGGTGCACATCAACAAAATTTACCCTAGATGCGGATGATTTAATCGAAATATTTACAAATCGGGGGCACATAAAAATTAAATGGAAATATGAAAAGAAAGAAGAATGTATAACGAATTTATTGATGTATGCATATTCCATGTTTTCTTATTCTTTCGATAAATAATCAGGCGAAGTTTAAGCGAGGTGAGGCAGACGATGAGAAAAGAGTTGCAAGCCTTCTCTCTTTTTATGTATCAGTCGAAAACGGTATATTTAAAAACAGCATATAGAGACAAAAGAGTTGATAACATATAGTGCATATTAGAATACAAAAATAGGAAAAAGGTGAATCGACTCCATATTTAAAAAGAAAAAAAAAATGGAAAAGGGGGGGGGGGTCCAGACCCCAAGTGCCTGTGCCTGTACACTATAGTTTACAACCGTAAATTATAATTAACACACGTTAACTATAGTTTAGAGTTGTAAACCATGTGACGGTACAATTTGTCGTTTTGTACATATTGTCGTTGGCGACAATATTTATGTACCTACCCTCACTGCACGTATTGTCGCCGACTGAAAAGTTACATACGTACATATTGTCGCTGGCGACATTATGTGCCTCACCCTCACTGTACATATTGTCGCCCCACAGATATTGTTGTTTAAAGGTGTTTTTTTTGCTGTTTTTTGGTAGTTTTGTGAATGTAATTGGTGTGAGAATCACACTGACGTGTCTTGTATGCTATTTCTTGCAGCGTGATTGTGACGGTACATTTTGTCGTCCTGTTCATATTGTCGCCGGCGACAATATGTACCTTCCCTCACTGCGCATATTGTCGTCCATCAGTGTTATTGTATATGTTAAGTTAATTATTTAATTATGAAATTTTACCTGTGGACTAAGTATAAACAAGTTAAACAAACAGAATTTACCAAAGCACAAAAAAAATCAAATCACCAACCAAAGGGGGTGGGGGTGGGGGGTGGGGGGGGTATTACATCTGTCTGGGTCTTTGGTGTTTGAGAAGATTTTTAAAGATTTTCTGTATATATTCCAATGTAAAACTTTGATCACCCATTGTGGCCCCACATTACCCCTGGGGTCATGACTTGAACAAAATTGATTTTTTTAAATTTTGTTTTTGGTAAAAATGTGTTGAAATTGACCCAGTAGTTCTTGAAAAGAAGCTGAAATTATGAATAGTTTACAGACAGACGGACGGTCAGACAAAATGTGATCAGTAAAGCTCATTTGAACTTCCAGTTCAGGTGATCTAAAAATGTTAGTTTTTGCGTTATTCTTATATTATTATTAACAATAAATTATATTTATAATATGATATCGGCACATGATCGTATATAAGAATAATTTCCAAATAATCATCACTACTGAACAAAAAAATACCTGTATTGAATCTCCATATATATATTACAAGAAAAAAAAGAATAGCTGATTTATCAGATATCTCAAGAATTACGGTATCTTGATATGTCATAGTGATGTACATCAATCCTGGACACAATTTTCTGACCAAAAAGTTTTCTCCCTACAGTATTGTAAGTAATGCTGTCTGTCTCCGTTCGTGCGAGTGTATGTTTGTCAATTTACCTTTCTTTTCTCAAGTAAATATTCTTCAAAACAATATATCGACGACAATATATACCGACCTTGACTGTACATATTGTCGCCGACGACAATATGTGCTGGTGCTTGACTGTACATTTTGTCGTCCATTATGCAGGAGAAAAATAAGGCTCGTGTGACGGTACATATTGTCGTTTTGTACATATTGTCGTCGGCGACAATATGTACCTACCCTCACTGCACATATTGTCGTCCATCGGTACATATTGTCGCCGGCGACAATATGTACCGAGACGAGCCTTATTTTCCTCCTGCATAATGAACGACAAAATGTACAGTCAAGCACAAGCACATATTGTCGTCGGCGACAATATGTACAGTCAAGGTAGGCATATATTGTCGTCGATATATTGTTTTGCTGAATATTTACTTGAGAAAAGAAAGAGAGATTGACAAACACACATACGCACGGAGGGAGACAGACAGCATTACTCACAATACTGTAGGTAGAAAACTTTTTGGTCAGAAAATTGTGTCCAGGATTGATGTACATCACTATGACATATATAGATACCGTAATTCTTGAGATATCTGATAAATCAGCTATTCTTTTTTTTCTTGTAACATATACTTGGAGATTGAATACAGGTATGTTTCTTTTCTGTTCAATAGTAATGATTATTTGGAAATTATTTTTTGCGTTATTCTTATATACGATCATGTGCCGATATCATATTATAAATATAATTTATTGTTAATAATAATATAAGAATGACGCAAAATATAACATTTTTAGATCACCTGAACTGGTAAGTTCAAGTGAGCTTTACTGATCACATTTTGTCTGACCGTCAGTCTGTCTGTAAACTATTCATAATTTTAGCTTTTTCTCAAGAACTACTGGGTTAATTTCAACCAAACTTGCCACACTTGCATCCGTGGATAAAGGGGATTCAAGTTTGTTCAAATGAAGAGCCATGCCCTCTTTCAAGGGAAGTAGTGAAGAGTAAGTGAAAAGTTAGTGACTTCTAAAAATCTTTTCAACATCCATTGTGTCAGAAAAGTTTAAACTTGTGAGAAAG